GCTCTACTTATCTTGAGAATAGATGGCGCTGTATGGAAAAAAAGTAGTGATACAGTAGTAAATATCACGTAGTATAAAATGAAAGTCGTATCCGCTGTTTGTTACCTTAGGTCTTTTAATACGTAACAGATTTTAACGATATTTAAAAAAAAATGTTGCAATTAACTTAAACATTATGTTGCAACCGTTCATGAGATGCTTTTCACCATCGATCAGGGCGTATGCTTGATTGCCACAGTGTGCCCTTGACATATAAAAAATCAAATTTGATGCAGGATTGAAGTGACTACCTCGATTTTGTAAGTAGGAGTAAATTTTTAGGTCTACGTATTATATTAACCTACTATTTTATATTATTATGTTAATTATGAATTGACGCCTTCGTCGGTGGTCTAGCGGATTCGCACGCCGCGCCGCGCCGCCTTACTTCCAATGCGATTTCGATTCTCGTACGATACAATAATAGGTATTCATTAACATTGATTATTTATATTTTCCTGTGTGTTTTTTATATGTATATAGTAATTATAAATGATAGATATATTATTAGACCTTTAATATAGCAGTGACAGAAGATGTAAAGCGCATTGATAGCTGATTCAACCGTCATACTCGTGACCGAGTGCTGCTTGTAGGGACTGGTCTGCTCTAATCCCTATAATTGATTTAATCTTATTGTGTATTTAATATTTTGACCCTAATAAATTATTTCTAGTTGGTAATTTCTATTCACATATTTCGACTTAATTCGACTTAAAAATATAAGGTTACAAAGTTAATTAAAAAAAGCAACAAGTAATGTTTGTATTTCTCATTTTTTTTTTTTAAACTTGTTTATTTTTTTGTACAATTTAATGTAACTGATAATGTCATTTTACTAATATATATAATCTGTATAAGCTGTTGATTACATAAATAAAATTTAAAATAGTCTTGTGATGAGACAGCTTTCTGAATGAGCGGTAGATTAAAAAAAACTATGATTATTCAAAAGTGTTTAAATTAAGTTTATTTTTATTTAAGCACTTTTGATATATATTTCTATGAAAACAATAGTCAAAAAGAACACTTTTATTTTAAATGTGGGTAAAGGAATATAACTGCCAGTGAATCTCATTGCAGGTCTAACATATATACGTACAAAAAATATATTTATATATTTATATCAGTTTTATTCATAGTAAAGGTCTGTTTAGTTTGGGACTAGATGGCGCTGTGTTAATTTTACTAATATTATAATCACGAAAGTTTGTGAGTATGCGATGATACATGGATGGATGTTTGTTACTCTTTCACGCAAAAACTACCGAACTGCTTTTGAAGAAACATACAGTAATATAGCTTATACAACAGAATATAAAAGTAGATTGTTAAGAAATAACGGGCATTTGGCAAAAATACTTTTTATATGTGATTGTCATAATTATAATAACCCTGAACAACTCAGAAGCACTCATTTTTCAACTTTCACGTTTAGTACAAATTATTAATATAGCTGAACAACTTTCAACACGAATCATTGTATGGTAAATTGAGAGAATAATCCTATAATTATAGGACAGAAGTAAATACCGTTATTTACCAAAAAATTTTCATGCTAGAACCCGTTTAACTATATTAATTACTAGATGTGCCCACGGTTTCATCCTGATGAAATTTGTCACCTATATATGTCTGATGTATACGTAAACTGTAAAGTTTCTTCAAAATCCGTTCATTAGTTTTTGCGTGAGACAAGTATTGCAAGTAACAAACATTAAAGAGTAACTCACAAACTTTCGCGTTTATAAGTTATAGTTAATTTATTTAGTAAGATACTCCAACAGCATCATAAACCATCCTATGATACCAGAATTGGAAAGAAACCCGTGGTACCGAAATTATTTATATACTTGATGTCCCATACCTTCCTTCGCTTAGAATTTCACTTTTTTTATTAAAATAAATATTTTTTTCTAAAATAAAAGTAGCCTAAGTTATTCCTTATAATATTAGCTATTTGCGACTTAACATTCTGTTAAAGTCATAAAGAGAATAATATGAATTAAAGACAGAGAGACACATTTTTTTCTTTTTTTTTTATCTCAGTACCGTATATTATATTCATTTAGTGAAAGACTGTTAATTTGATATTACAAACGGACATTTGAATTTTATTTATTTGTGTAAGTAAATAAAACATATATCGAATACTTTTACTCAATATATGTATATATTATTTATTTATTGCACATAAATTTTATTTATTTGTTATGATAAATAAAACACATGGCGAATGCTTCTACTTATTTATATGTACATATCGTTTATTTTTATTCATTTATGTTTTGTATTATTTAATATGTTTTATTTTTATAACAATTTTAAATATATTTAATTAAGTGTACTATTCTCATTTACTATGTTTTCTCGTCTGTCTATTCAGTTTAGTATCGTTTTGAAATTACTGACACCTTGCAATTTGAAATTTGGAGACATATATAATATTATTATGTGTATTGCTTAGGTAACCTCATAATTTATTGGTGTCAAGGTTGCCAACCTTACGAGGAACTTATTATGAATACGAGGCTTTGACCTACAAAATTTTGATGGATAATTTTTCACTGCAGACAATTTTTTATATTGCAATTATATCTTACATTCTTAGTTAATAGTCCGTGTTTAAAATAAGTACCAATAAAAAAATATTTATTTAAATAATTTATATAAAATGCATACATAACATGATAAAAATAAATTTTATCAAGATTATTTTGATTTCTATAAAATACATTTATATACAAATAAAAATAATCTTTATTCAAATTAACTTAATAGTTTTTGAATAGTCATATTTTTTTATTCTACCACTCATTTGGAACGCAGACTCTTAAGAAACTTATGTGTTGGTCTTTTAAACAAATATTGTTCAGAATCACATTTTTAATAATTTTGTGTAAATAGAAACTGCCAAATAGCGAATTACTTGAGTAACAAGATAAATTCTAAAAATGTAATTTCTTTTTTCCTACACAAAATAAAACATTTCCTTTTCGTAATGTTACTATAGATATACAGCTCAGTGCAGATGGCACTCCAAACCTGCGGAAGGACTTATGGAGCGGCTGAAGGCCAACTCCTGCCTGACGGATACGACTTTAGTCTGCGGGCACCACTAGGGGTTCGAACCTCGGCTCAGGCCGTCGTACATCCGTTCCATTATCATCTATAAAAAAAATACAACCATTAAAAAAATACACTAAATTATAATTTAAATTTATGAGCAATTTAGTAATTTACACTTTCAGTAATTCACACGTTATGTTGTAAATAACCTAAAATAATATTATAGTAAGAGGCTAATCATACAAATCACCAGAATAATAAAGAATAATAAATGCACCACTAATAAAAATAATAATAATTAACTCTATATTGTGTCCACAGAAGAAACAATAAGAAAAAATCAGTAAATATAACAGTAATAACAAAAAACGGTCTCTCGTTATCGGTACAAGTAATTTCTTACAAACAACCTAGAAGAGAAGACTTATGTACATAGAATCGATATATCTGCATTCCCTAAGGTTGGCTGGTAGAGAACGCTATTAACATTAATCCCGCCTATTGTACAATTCAATAAAGTTTAAATAAATAAATAAATAGGTAGGTGGCACACATAAGACTCTATATTTACTATGCTAATAAATATACATACATAAATTAGGTATAAATATATAAATCTACATATATACTACATATTGGAAGGTATCTTAGATTATTTTTAAATGATGCTTGTGTTTGAGCTGATCGGAATGGAGAGTGGTAGAGTTTCAGAGGCGAGCAGCTTGGACAGTGAAGGAATTGGAATAATATACACCATTCTACTGTCATCCTTAAAAATCTTGCGTTACCCGTACTGTGATCTCCTCCTTTGTCACTTTTGTACAAGGTGTTTTTGTTACTTTTGTACAAGGTTAATACGATACTTTTACGTGTACTACGTTAAAAGTTTTATAGTTGGCAACCGTGAATGCGCCCGAAAACGTTAAAAGGCGTTGTGCGAAAGCTTTGCAAACCCATGACCTCGTTGAGGCGTCATTATTCGCTTATGTTACTAATATTATAAATGCGGAAGTTTATAAGTATGAATAAATTAATTAATCTTTGATTCTTACTCTTTGTTTGTTACTCGTTCAAGCTACAACGGGATTTTAATGAAGCTACAATAATGTACCGAACGACCTCGGTGGTCTAGCGGTTTAGCACATCGCTTTAGGTCCGATGGTCGCGGGTTGATTCCTCGCACGGCACAAACTTTTGTATTCATGAGTATGATTGTTTGTATCGTCTGGGTGTTTTCTATGTATAATATGTATGTATTCATGAAAATATCTATGTAATTGTATCAGTTATCTAGTAGTCATAACACAAGCTCTGGTTAGCTTAGGACTAGATGGCGCTGTGTGAATTATACAGGGTCATTATATATATAAATACTTAGATTTTCTTTTATAAATACATACATAATATATATAGAAAACACCCAGAGCAATACAAATAATCATACTCATGAATAATGTACCGATAATTGTACCGTGCGAAGAATCGAACCAGCGACCATCGGCAGAACTGTTAGACTACTGCGGCTATTAAATACACACACTGCCATTCCAGAGAACTATAGTATTATCCCTCCGTACCGTATAATTTTACTGCCTTATCTCAACCGGAAACACAGTTTACAAAGCAAGCTGCTTGGCAGTTGAAATAGGTAAGATTAAGGTACTCACATCGACATGAGTAATGATTTCACTCAGGTGTCATGATTTCGTACCATTTAATGTCTAAGGTCTGTTTGAATTCATTATAAAAATTATGGTTATTTAAGCCATTCAATGCTAATGAGATAGCTGGGAATTGGTTGTATAATCTGCTGTTGCAATTATTTCTCATTTTAAGCAAACTAAAATTTTATCTTTTGTAATTATGTATAATTCAATATGATCGTCCAAATGGACAATTGCTGTTGCAAGTCATATAACATTGTTTACATCTTCAACAATACACATAAAACTAGAAAATACGGTCTTAACACTAACAAAATCTCTTCCAAACAATTTTAGAAACAAGAGTATAAAAATAAACTTAACGGCGCATAAGTGTATACAAGTCAACAGAATATATTAAGGCTCTAATAATATCAAATTCGTAGATCAAAATGTATTAATTAATTTCTTAATCATATCCACAGATTCGTTCTCTCCCATACTTTCAATGTACGCAGTTGCTTTCTTAGCGTGGTCCTCGTAAAGCTTCTTTGTTTTAACAATCGCATCTGTCTTCAGTACATTGAATTTCAAATCTTCGTAATCAACATCTTTTACGTCATTTTTACCTTGATTAATGATTTCATACAAATCTGGATTGCCTTCTAACGCAAAAAGTACAGGAGCACTTGCCAAACAAAACTGGTCCTTGCTATCTGATGTTAACTGTTGCAATTCGGTAGCAGCCTGCCACGCTAAACCGACGTGACATCCGAAATGATATGCGTAGTTTTGCATCTCTGTACTCTGTTTGTTTAGAACCATTGCTGCTTGGCATCCTCTGCCCAACAGACTGACTCCATTGAAAACTGTTCTAGCTGTCCATTCCCTCATAGGTTTCCCAATTACTTGATCTACACTAATCGATTTAGTATCGAACGTTATTTGATAGTCTTCGTCAGTTGATTTAGGCTTACCAGGTAATGGCATGTTTTGTTCGTCCCTCTCACCGAAGAATTCACCTTCAGATAGATCTTTCAACGCAGTAGATATAATGTAAGACACGTCAGAGTTCCTAAGACCAGCTAACATACCGTTAGCTGTAACTAGCAGATAATCTCCAAGTAAAAGAGCAATTTTGTTCCCGAAAATTGCAGATTCTGTATTTTTCGATCGTTTTGCGAAAGGCACATTAACAATTCCACGATGAATCATGTGTCCCGTTCTAATCATTTCTGTTAGTTCCGCCAATGCCCTCTGTTGTTCCTCGACCTTTTTTGCAGGAAGCGATGAGGTGGACTTCACTGATTTGGAAAGTAACAAGATCATAAGTCCCCAAGGCTGAAGATTTTTGGAGTCACCGTAAAGAACATTCTTAGCTGTCTGCATCACAAGGTGATTGCTGCCAACCTGGAATCAGACATACTAATGTTGTGTACTATGAAATGTATCCACGGAAATGCAAGATAAAAGTTCAGGGCCTTATAAAGTTTTATTACACAATATAGACTAAAAATATTATAACATTAAGTTCAAAATCAATCGTAGATTTGAGAATTGGCTATAAAGGTCTTAAAAAATTTGAAGAGGTATATCGCAAGATTTTCTTGTGATGATAGTAAATTTGGAGGATACATTTTTGGGCTAGTTTGTTAAAAAATTAAATTGGGTAAAGTTGTAACTTGACAAGATAGCAAAAGCCTTGCTGATATTAACTTTTCTTCAATTATTAAGGATTTTTCTTCAAACTCTTCTTCAAAACTATTTCCAAGCAAACTTTGTCTACTAGGTAATTAGACAGCTACAAATACATGGATATTTTTTTGCAAATAATCAAAGTAAAGGAATGGTCATGCCGGTACAAACAATTATACTCATGGATACAAATATTTGTGCCGTGCGAGGAATCGAACCTGCGACCATCGAAATTAAAGTATACTAAACTGCTAGACTACCGAGGCCGGAAATCTATAGTATAAGTCTTTACATTTAAAACTAATAATTCTTTCTTACCCTTAAAAATCAACTATAAATTTGCGAGTTGGTGATAAAATATGAAAGTTCAAGTTACATCGACGTTAATATTAACCTTGTATACTTGATCTTAAGGTCCAATACACGGAACTTTGCAACAACTAAAAGTAGACCCATCCAAGGTCTACCAAGCGTAGTATGTACAAAGAACTAGTATTATGTATTAAACGCATAAGGCGTGAAGTTTATGGCCATTCAAATTATAAGCATGAAGTTAATCACGACGGTTTCCAGACAGACCCCGTGGAGGTCAACCTAACTTAATTGCTAGCAATGAGCCCACTTATTCCTAACAGGCTTCTTCTCTCTTATATTATAACTTGCAGGGACACTGGACGTTTGTGATTTACCATAAATTTAATGTCCATGGAGGAAAGGAGATTGTTAGTAATATGGACTGATTACCCCATTGCAATGTTGGGTTGACCTCTGTACATTTTCCGTTGGAAACCATAATGACAAAATTATGGTGAATTTGTCATGATCGGCCAACTGACCAGACCTCATGCTCATTTTATCATCATCCACTAGTGTCACGCCAGCGTAAACCGTTAGCTCTGGCTGAGGCAACATTCCATTATCATCCATTAAAAAATTGTCCGTGATGCTATTCATGTATGTATATAGGTCATGATGACCACTTACCATCATATGGTCGTCAGTATGTTTACAATTATATACAGAATAGAAGCAGAAGAAACTGGTTTACACCAAAATGATACTTTCATGTCAATTTTACTTCTAATTGACTCTCTCCGTTACAAGTCCTCTACGACAATGGCATCAAGTATTTTTTATCTAATTGTAATGACAAACAAGCTGACGGTCAACCTGATGGTAAGTGGTAACCTGATGAATGTAGGCGAACATTCATGAACAGCGCTATGAACGTCACGGAAGCTTACAAAGTACGCAGACAACTTTTATAAACTTTACATCGGTCTTACAAAATACAAATACAAAATCTTTATTTTGCCTGAAAAGTAATACAAATAACGTAACAATTAAAACCAAACTAAAGTAAGTAAATTCATATTCGTAAGTAAGGTTACTTACTTACGAATATGAATTTACTTTAAAAGTAATAAACTTAAAAAAAAGACAAAATAATTACCATAATACAGTTATAAATTTTAAAAGTTTCTAAAAACCAAAAACCTATAGCATTGAAAAAAAATATACTGCGAAATATTGTCTCTACTTACTTTTTTATATACGCGTCAATATTAAAACAAGATGTCGTTTTATAATGTGTAATTATAAATCTGTTTTATATATCCTTAATATAAATATTCTTAAACTAAAGATAATATAATTTAAACAACTTAAATATTATTTAGATAAATAAGGCTTGTTTGTCGTGAAAAGCTATTTAACAAGTACTTTATTTATAATTCTCAATTAAAAACATTACAACAAAAGACAAATTAATAATTAATTGACAGAAAAGTAAAATTTTAAAAACTTACCAATTTCCTTAAATACAACGCCAAATTAGCAAACTCGTCACTCAGTAGACATCTCAAATTCATAAATGAGGTCGGATATCCGACTACTTTCTCTGCGTCCCTAATTATATTACTCCAATTTGTGAAAGGAGGTCTTAATAGTATCAATATTTCATCTTTCGTCAAACTGGCCACCGTCGATTCGTATCTGTTTTGAAAAAGGAACGGCGACGCGCGCCTCAAAACGCGGGAAACCGCGTACGAAACTGACATTGTCTATGATTTCACTTTTTTAATTTTTGAACAAAGCTAAGAACGCCAGCGCAGCTTGCCGCGTCGGTATGCAGCTGACCGAGAAATGCCTCTACAGGTAAGCGAGTGGGTTTAACTCTCTTTCTCTTAGGGTTACCATCTTTATGTTTTAGTTTACGATTGTTTACATCTGCTGTATTAATTTTAAAGGTCTAGTATGTTGTTGCTTTATTATCTTTTTTTACACAATTCATACAGTGCTATCTAGTTTCTGAGTAAACATAGCTTGTGAGTATGAGTGAAAATGGTTGAAATATAAATAAATATTTTTTTCAAAATACAGTATAATATGAAATATTATTAAATTTAAAGTTTTTTTAGTACGTATAAATTAAATTGTATGAATGCAATCTCTCTTGGATATATGTACATTAATTACTTAATAATTAACTGGAAGAAATTTGTGTATTTCTGGCATAAAATTCGAAATTAAAAACAGCAACAACAACAAGTTCCATACAAGTCTATATAAATTATATTTACTGAAATTATAAATACATATTATCTCATGCTATAGATAATTTTTATTTTATTAAGACTACAATACATCCTTAATTAAGAAAATTATTTTGTCTTCAACTTCAACTATAAATCCCCAATATTTAGTAAAATTAAATATCTATATGGCAACACCTTTGATCTTGACCGTGAAGAGAAACGAGGCAGCCCCAAGTAGCATATCCACATCATTTACTTCAATGGGCACAAATACATCCATTCCATTTTAGTCTTTATGCATTTTAAAATAGAAGTTAATTACAATGTATACAAGAGCATAATGAAAATTGTTGAGTAGCTCACAATTTTAGTGAGAGCTATCTTTTCTAAGACATCTAATGGGCGATAGAGGTCGATTTAATGTTGATAATTTGAAACGGTTTTTTTACTCTTTCATTTATTATAACCAGTTTTAGTGTCAGATGAGTAAGGGCTAGTCGATGAGAAATTGGAGTAATCTTTCTTTATTTTTCGATACGATATTTTCTTAAGAGGTAGCCTAAAACAATTTTTCGTTCTGGACCTGACGTGGTACATCATTCGTAAAGGCCAGGGGGAATGGCCCCTGGAAACAATCGTGGGTAATTTCTGATGAAATCGCCTTGATTTGCTAACGAGACATCAACCTAGTCCTATCCTAACCTCCACTGGTCGAAGGAAAAAGGGATTGTTAGTAATGTGGACTCATGACCGCATTACTAGCAATTTACAATGCCAGGTTGACCTACACCCGGTTCCTCCTGGAAACCATCATGATAAGTTCCTGGTGAATTTGTCACGATGGGTTAACTGACCTGACCTCATGATCATCTTGTCATCCTCCACTGGTGCCCCGCCAGCGTAAACCGTTAGCGCAGGCTGTAGCACCATTCCATTATCATCCATAAAAAAAAACCTCCACTGGTCCCATTAGCACTATTCCAATAACATCCACTAAAATAATAAGTATAGTAAAGTAATGTGATTGAACATAAATAAGGAAAACTAAATTATTCAGTGCGTTTTGTATTTGTTTCAAATCAAAAATCATTTATTCATGTAGGTTATTTTAGCCGCTTATGTACGTCAAGTTTTTTGTATTAATATTTTTTCCCTACCGTCCAGTTTAGTATACAGATTCAACTGAGCAGACTGACAAGAAACTGATTCTACTGATTTTTTTCTAAATACTAATTTATATAGGTGTCTATGCTAACATTAAATGAAAATCCCATGCATGAACAACTATTGCCATGCTCGTTTGTCATTTAAGTAATATGGTTTGCTATGCTATAAATATGATTTAACTGGTGTTTAAATTTAAAAGATAATTCCAGTATATCCTTTGGTATCTTATTGTCAAATTATTATATATTATAGTACCCCATAAAAGACCCACTGACTTTTTCTAAACGAAATGCTCGTTGCTTAGAAATGTTATGAATATGGCTGTGTTCCACGTTCAGCTTGTAAGCTAGATTTACACAAATACTTACTCTACCAGTACATTATAATAACAAGTTCAGGGTGCTGTTAGAGTTGCCCTGATGCCCTGATCAGGGAGCATCAGTAATCAGAACAGCAGAGAGTGGACGGCTTTAACACGACAATGCGTAAGAGTTGCCATGGAGGATGGGGGAACTGGGGGAGTAGGGGGCACCAATACTATCCTGACAACATCGTTTTCAGACTTGACTGTTTGTACGTGAGCTATTACTGCAGCTTATCTGGTGGGATGCTGCAGAAATGCAGAATCTGAATTAGATAAATTATGAGAGGTAGGTATGAATATTATTCGATAGGTAGGTATTCAAGATATAATACCTAAAATGCGTTAAAGATGTAATTAAATAATACCTTCTAACCATTTTTCATTTTAGTTAATTTTATTCTAATATTATTTTATCTGTGATTTTACTAACAAAAAGAGGAATAGAGATAATGGAACTGTACAATAAAGACTCATAGTCCCTATTGTACAGTACACCACATCTTATGCTACGATTACATTCAGCCGCTTCCCCTGCTACTCGCGCTGCCGGAAATATTGCCGAGCGACAACTGAGCGAGAGGGCTGAATATAAAAACACGCTGCCACTCGCGCTGCCAGTCCTTTGACTCGCGCACGAAAAACCGACAATCGAGGGAGCGCCGCCCGGTCAGCGCGAGTGACAGCGCCTATGGCATGGGAAGTGTTTCCACTCGTGTTTACACTCTCGCGCTGCTCACTTCCGTGCTCACTTCCCTGCCCACTCGGGCTGAGTGTAAATTGGGCATTAGACCTCTGGAATGGCAACGCAAGAGTGATACCAAATGTTCCTATTACTGTTTATGTACACAGGTGACAGTTGCCGGTTACTAACGAGTAGTTACTCGAAATAATGAATAAATAAAATAAAATAGTTTAAAGAGATAAAATTTATAGGCCTAGGCCCTAGGCCATAAACTATTAATATCCTATGTCAATTCGGATATACAAATTCCTGTAATGCAATGTTCCCCACCATTTTTCTGTGTTCGAACAATAATAGAAACGAACAAAACAACGTGTAAGGTAGCGACATCTATGTCACAAATGGAAAAATAATTCAAACGGCGAGAACTAATTTATCGATCGTGAATACGATGTACGGTAGAGGGCGACCTCGTCACAGCCCAAATTATACTTTTAACACTTTTAAGGTCCGAAAACAACCACGGATTGACCAATAAAAATTAATGTTATATTGAATTTTAATGTTATTGTAATAGGATTAAAATTTAAAATATTATAACACTTTTTATTGCTAAACGAAATGTAATATTTTATGAGCATTTACTGGAATGCTTGTTATTTATAAAAAAAAATAACGCCATCTATTGATTTATAATTTTTTAGATACAAATTTTAAACTGTAAAAAGTGTAATGAGACGATCAATTTTAGTATTGCTTCGAAGTTGAGTTTACATTGCATTTACCGTTCTTTGTGTTGTCTAGATGAGCATGTATGTAGTGCTACTGCTGGCCATCAGGCAGGCCGGCATTTCAAGTAACATATAAATAAATTAAAAGTTATATTGAAAAAAAAGAGAATACTGAAAGTCTTTTGCATATATCTATTGTCAAAACCATCAAACAAAATTTATAATTTTTTTGTTCTCGAGATATAGAGACTCTTTAGTCTTTTCTTGTTAATTTTTTATTATATAGATAATTAATAATAATAGTACTATATATGGTTATTTATTATTATGATCAGATTTGTTTCCGCTGCATATGACGTTTTTTTCGACTGCTCTAATTTGACAGGAAGATAGTGGGCGATGCAGATGGCACTCCAAACTCGCGGAAGGACTTATGGAGCGGCTGAAGATACGGATGACTTTAGTGTATAGGCTCAGACCGTGTGTAATGTATTTAATACATATTATTGTATATATATTACGTTATGACTACATTCCTCAGGACTCCAGTGCAATTATACAGACACCACACGGTCACCCAGAACTGTACAAGACAGCTTCAATTTCGTCATAGTTTTTAGATACGAAGAAACTTCTTCCTTTGTGTGTATAACGGATTATATTCTCTGGAATTGTTTGACATAATACCCGCTGGACTAAGAACCTGGAACCGACTGGAAATCCGTCCTAACATACTGGAACCTATGTTATCTCATACAGCGCAGTTTTGGAAGACTTTATAAAAAGTCGTAATGATATCCCAGGACAATTCACACAGCGGAGGGGAAAGGGGATTATTAGTAACGTGGACTGATGATCTTATTGCTAGCAATGTACCATGTCAGGTTGACCTCCACGCGGTTCTCCCTGGGAACCATCGTGGTAAATTCTTGGTGAATTTGTCACGATGGGCTAAGTGATCTGACCTCATGCTCATCTTATCATCCTTTACTGGTGCCCCGCCAGCGTAAACCATTAGCGCAGGCAGGTGCACCATTCCATTATCATCCATAAAAAAATTCACACGGCGCCATCCAGATGAGGTTGTGTGATTTACTCTACTTGGGACAAGTCTCAGACTATCGGCTTGTGTTATAGGTACTAAACAACTGAAAAAATTACTTATATTTTATGTATAACTAATATAACTATACTAATAAATACACATTAGCTATATACAGTATTTACATAAAATTAAATCATTTTAATAAATTGTCTGTCTGTCTGTTCTTGCTAATCTCTAAATTGGCTGGACAGATTTTGACGAGAATTTCACTCGCAGATAGATTAAGTTATATGGAGTAACTTAGGCTACTTTTATTTTAGAATTATTATTTATTTCTTTATTAAATTCTTCTTTTTCAGCTTGGCTACTTGAGGATGTTAGTATATGTGATGACCATAACACTTCATGTAGGAAATATTGTGGTGATGTCACAACCGAAGCAGAAGCTTAATTTATATATTTTTGTTAAACAAAAATAAATTAATTCTACGCGACGTCGGAGTAGCAGCTAGTTCAAATTAAATATCATTCATGTAGGTCTATTATAGACTCTTATGATGTATGAACAACTACCGTTCGGAGAGTATTCGAGCTAAGAAGAACTGACAAGAAACTCAGCTCTTATTTTTTCAATTGTACTTGTACATATTTACAAAAATACAGATTTATACGCCAGCTTATGCTATTACAATTTTGTCAAAATGAAATACTGTCAAATCAGTCACAGTGACAGTCCAAGTCCTCATCATCATTTCAGCCCGGTAGACGTTCACTGCTGAACAAAGGCCTCCCCCAAAGATCTCCACGACGATCAGTCCTGCGCTGCTCGCATCCTACGCCTTCCAACGATCTCGACCAGATCGTCGGTCCACCTCGCTGGAGGCCTTTCCACGCAGTGTCTTCCTGTCCGCGGTCGCCACTAGAAGAATTTACTGCCCCAACGGCCATCTGTCCTACGAGCTATATACCCTGCCCATTGCCACTTCAGTTCGCAATTCTTCTGTCTAAAATTGTGTGGTTCACGACCTCATTATAACATTTATTTCTTTTTAGAGTATATCTAAATAATTGTTTAGAAGTATTACGATGTTTACGAATTGTCTATGCCATTCTATGTTAATGAGCTACCTTATAATAGAATCAGAAGGTGGACAAATATACGACACTTGATATGTTCTGACCTCAGCAATCTAGCGTTGAGCACTTAGACCTTTTTGCATAACTTCTGTTGCATAACTTATGTGATTGTGCGTGGCACGCACAACCACATTATGCAGGGGGGAAAGGGGATTGTTAGTAATGTGGACTAATGCACTTATTGCTAGCAATGTACCATGTCAGGTTAACCTCCACGCGGTTCCCCCTGGAAACCATCGCGATAAATTCCAAGAATTTGACACGATGGGCTAACGACTTGCCCTCATGCTCATAATATCATCCGACAGTGGGGCCAACTATCGTAAACCGTAGTCAGGTACACCATTCCAATAATATTATTTAAAAAAAAAACACATTGTGAAACACCTTCCACCAATTGTATTTCTGAACCGATACTATATTGAAACATTCCTAAAAAGCTTATTCCTTCTTAAAAGGCCACCGACGCATTTGCAATTCCCCTGTTGTTACAGGTGCTCGAACGACGGCGGTAATCACTTACTATCAGGTGAGCCGGAAGCTTATATGTGTATGCTTTAAAAAAACCTTCAGTTGACCACGTATTCGATTTGAGCGAACACTATCGTTTACTCATTATAAAATTGTTAACTTGTCTGAGTGCTTTCCACAATATATCATGACTGTTACCACAGTTAGGGTAGACAGAGGCTGTCGATTGTCAATGGTATGAAACGCAGTACCTAATATGCAAACATTTCGCTGAATATATTTAAATCCAACATCCATCAGGGGTCGAGCCGATGTCCCACAAATTATTGTTTGATATTGATGTTTCCATCGCTAGAATGTCAGCCTGTAATATACATGTACATACAGAACTTTTATTGTTCTCGGCCAGATTTGAACTTACGACCTCTTGGTCTTAATTACGCCTAACCACCACTAGGTCACCACGCTCTCTATGTTAAGTTGGTATTTGACAATCTCTATTTTAATATTATTACTAGTAGTTTAGTGTCTACAATACATACAATTGTCATATTTGTGACAATACCCCATTCCTAGTGTGACGTCACATTTTTAATAATAATAACTTGACTATGTATATATAAAATTAAACCTTATGATCATAGCTTAATGTTACTTAATTAAATACCCTGTAATCTTCTTAGAGAACTGTACAATAATTCAATAATTTTTTTCTAACCCTACTGCTAGATCTAAATATAAATGTGTTCAAACAAACGAACAAACTCTCGAGCGTTATTTATTATTAGTATATATGTCGATATTATTAATAACTATAGTTTAAGATTAATCTTTAATCACATACATAAATATTAGTCACGAAATTAAAACATCTTAACTACACCATAAAAGCAAAACACGTGGGTTAGTAACATTAATATTCATCATAAATTTTGTCAATGTACTTCCACCCGCAGTCCACAGGTGTTTATAAGCGTCATGACCTTACCTCCATGTATTATATAAATTTAATGTACCTACCTCTAATAACATAAAATTTACTGATCAAAACGTATTAACCAATTTCTTAATCATATCCACAGATTCGTTCTCTCCCATACTTTCAATGTACGCAGTTGCTTTCTTAGCGTGGTCCTCGTAAAGCTTCTTCGTTTTAACTATCGCGTCTGTCTTCAATATATGGAATTTCAAATCTTCATAATCAACGTCTTTTACGTCATTTTTACTTTGATCGATTATTTCGTACAAACTTGGATTGCCCTCTAGCGCGAAAAGTACAGGAGCACTTGCCAAGCAAAACTGGTCCTTGCTGTCTGACGTTAACTGTTGCAATTCGGTAGCAGCCTGCCACGCTAAACCGACGTGACATCCGAAATGGTAAGCGTAGTTTTGCATCTCTCTACTCTGTTCGTTTAGAACCATTGCTGATTGGCATCCTCTGCCCAATAGACTGGCTCCATTAAAAACCGTTCTAGCTGTCCACTCCCTCATAGCTTTCCCAATTACTTGTTCTACGCTAATTGAAGTAGTATCGAATGTGATTTGATAGTCTTCACCGGTTGATTTAGGCTTTCCTGGTAATGGCATATTTTGTTCATCTCTTTCACCGAAGAATTCACCTTCGGACAGATCTTTTAATCCTGAAGATATAATATAAGACACATCAGAGTTTCTCAAACTTGCTAGCATACCGTTTGCTGTAACTAGAAGGTAATCGCCAAGTAAAAGAGAAATTTTATTCCCGAAGATTGCAGAATCTGTATTTTCCGATCGTTTCGCGAAAGGTACATTCACGATCCCGCGATGAATCAAGTGTCCTGTTCTATTCATTTCCGTTAGTTCCGCCAACACCCGCTGTTGTTCTTCCACTCTTTTCACTGGAAGTGATGAGTTGTTCTTCACTGATTTGGAGAGTAACAAGATGATGAGTCCCCAAGGCTGTAGATTTTTGGAATCACCGTAAAGAACATTCTTGGCTGTTTGCATTACAAGATGATTACTGCCAACCTGGAATTAGACAGATTAAATTTATTATTTCATCTCGAGATAAGACTAAGTACGGCAACTTACTGTAGCACTATCTCATATATTTTGGCTCCAAGCACCTTGCTTTGTAAGATTTTGTTTGAAGAGTGAGATAGGGCAGTGAAATTGCAAAATACGGAGCCTTTAGGGTAATATGGAGACAGCTTTGTCTTCTGGAATGAAGAGTGGCAACGCATCCTGGCAACTCATCGTGGAGATGAGTTGCCAGGTTGACGTATCGCATGATAACGTGATGTACGTGATCCTGTTCATATGTGACGATTATCACTTATTATTAGGTAGACCATCAGCTTGTTTACAATTTAATTACACAGATTATTATTAATAAAATCTTTCTCTGCCGTTGTCGTTAATTTCTTATTAATTTGTCACGCTGCTTACTAACCTGAATTCATACACATCTTATCATCCTTCATTAGTACCCCAACAGCTGGTACCATTACTTCATGTTAGAGTACCTTTTCATTTTACACTTTAAAACATCCTCTCAGTTCCACGCATGAACGGTACCATGTACTCGTATGTAGGCAACTGTTGCCATTTACCACCAGAACACTTGCTGTAAGCTTGTTTGTCATTCTTTATTCATAAAACAGTTGTGTTGATTATGGATATGGGATCTGGTATAAGGATAGATTTATCTGGTTTCATTTTATTAATTTTAATAATAAGCTACGACAATTCACACAGCGCTATCCAGTCTCGAGTTAAGCAAAGGTTAATAGATAAATAATAGAACTACTTAAAAACATTTTTGTATATTTGTAGATCATATACATGGAAAACATTATAAAAGTATACAATATATAAATGTTTGCATCATGCAAGAATTAAACTGGCAACCAATGGAAATAAAGTGGTATACCAAACAGCTAGACCACTGAGTCCGTCGAAATATTTTTTTTGTATTTTATTATGGTACTAGCTGTCCCGGCAAACGTTGTTTTGCCTTAAAATAAAAAAAAAATTAGGGGTGGACTACCCCTAACATTTAGGGGGATGAAAGATAGATGTTGGCCGATTCTCAGACGTACTCAATACGCTCACAAAATTTCATGAGAATCGGTCAAGCCGTTTCGGAGGAGTATGGGACAAAAACTGTGACACGAGAATTTTATATATAAGATAATTTAGACCACGGGGTCGAAATTTGAATTTCGACCACTAAACAAAAGAATTTATAAACGTGGGTGTAATTTTTTATTTACATAATTTTTATGGATATCTACTAAAAAAAATATTAACATTCTGCATTCTCTTATCTATATGAACTATGAGTGTTCGAAATTTCATACGCATCGGTGCGCGCAATTTTCGTAAAAAGGGCCACAAAGTTTTTGCTCTACGTATTAATATGTATTATATCAGTTGACGAATCAGTACTATATATTATACTAGCTGTACCCGCGACTTCGTCCGCGCGGAATGTAACTTTATTTTTATTAAATAATATTATTTCTAAAATAAAAGAATTTTTCTGAAATCCAAGTAGCCTAAGTTACTCCTTTTTACATCAGCTACCTGCCAATAAATGTCCCGTCAAAATCAGTCCAGCCATTTCAGAGATTAGCCGGAACAAACAGACTGACAGACAGACAGACAAAAATTGTAAAAAATGTTATTTTGCTGTATGTACCGTATTTATATTTATATCATCATCGCAGCCCGGAAGACGTCCACTGCTGGACATAGGCCTCCCCCAAAGATATTTATATGCCTGTAGTAAAAAACGGTTATTTCAATATTACAAACAGACACTCCAATTTTATTTATATGTTTATGATTAGCTATCCAGTTACCCTTGAGAATACAATAAACGGCTAATTTTGGGCGAAAATGCAAATATATTAAATGTCAAAAGTTACGTCAAATTTTACGTTAAACTTGTTCAACATGATATTATGGTCCTTTACACGGAACTTAGTGATTATTAATTAAGAGACCAAATCGAGATCTGTCAAACGAAAGAAATACAAGGAACTGATATGATATTTGACCACTTCGGTGATCTAGCGGTTTAGTGCACAGCCTTACTTCAATGATTGTGGATTCGATTCTCGCAAGATGAACATTTATATTCATGAGTATGAATATATGTAGTATATCTGGGTGGGCTCGATATATTTGTGAAAAAAATGTATTTAAATATTTCTATCAGTCAGTCAGATAGTACGCATAATACATAGACTACGGATATAAATACATAGACTTTTTTGTAAATACATACATAGTATACATAGAAAACACCCAAACTAATATAAACAACCATACTCATGAATATTAATGTTTGAACCGTACGAGGAATCGAACCCGCGACCTTCGGAAGTAAGGCGGTATGCTAAACCGCTAGACCACTGAGGCCGTCAATGTTTTATGCTTAGCATTAATTAATTACTTATATTATAATATTATAAACGCGAAAGTTTGTAAGTATGGATGTTTGTTACTCTTTCACGCAAAAACTATAGAACGGATTTTGATGAAAGTGTACAGTAATATAGATTATGCATCAGAATAACACATAGGCTATATTTTGATTTGTATAATGAAATTTAACGAGAGTGAAACCGCGGGCACAAAATATGGCGGAAGGAATAGGTTAAATAGAGATATTCCCACAGGTTCTCATCCCATATGTAGTATATGTATGTATATATATATATAATACTATCTGTCCCGGCAAACGTTGTTTTGCCTTAAAATAAAAAAAAAATTAGGGGTGGACTACCCCTAACATTTAGGGGGATGAAAAATAGATGTTGGCCCATTCTCAGACCTACTCTATACGCTCACAAAATTTCATGAGAATCGGTCAAGCCGTTTCGGAGGAGTATGGGAAAGAAAACTGTGACACGAGAATTTTATATATAAGATGTATTAGTGTGTAAGTTTATTTATTTATACTTATAAAATGTATGTTTATCTATATGTGTATTATAAATATATTGTCTACTGTGCGCCTTCTACCTTCTCTATGTAAATAGTACCTGTCAATACCAGGTTGTCTGTAAGAAATTGCTGTTAGTGATAAGACAGCCTTTTGTATAACTTTTTATCATATTTTACTGTTCTTTGTTTGTCTGTGCGCAATAAAGAGTTATTATTTTTTTTTTTCCAAATATTCTCATCTCCCCTCTTAAGGAGAGGAGATGGCAACATACCCCCGGTAGAAGCACAGTCGGCCGGGGTTCAGGGCCCCAGGGAGAGAAACCGGCGTACAATGCGGGCAGAATCTAACAGCACAATATATTATATTCCCACAAGCGACTTTGTACAAAGTGTACCTCAATGATAGTCTAAAATAATCTTATCAATCTCTAATATATAACTAATATTTAAGTTATTATGATATTTTTATTTTGCATCCAATATTTACAATTTAAATTGCTCCCTGGTACCTAATGTCTTCTGACAAATAAATATATTATTATTATTATTATATTATTATTATTAAACTAAGTAGAAACTTGTATTTCAGGTACCATTTCCCTCCTCTAACAATTGCTAAGCTAAACTAGACTAATAAACAAAAGAGTATATACATATATGCGTGTGCCAAATACATGTATATTTATTTATAGTCATGTCAACATTATTTTTCACTAGTTTGACTTATTTTATAGTATGCTTGATATAGAGTTTACAGTATTGCGTGAGAGTAGCGAAACAAAAAACTTGTACAAGAGAACTGTATATACATTTCTATAATTCATGTGTAAGAAAAAGGCTTTCTTTTTAATTACAGTTAAAACGATAGTAGATAGATAGATAGTAGATTATTAATATTGTCTCATCAGTATAACTAATTTTATTTTTATTTATTTAACTTTAATGCACAAAAACCTGTACATATGGCGGACTTAATTAATACCTTACGGCGTTATCTACCAGGCAACCATGAGTGGTGCAGAGAAAGATTGTAGGGGGTGCACTAATGACTGATATAAATGAGATTTGTCAAAAAAAGATATATAAATATAAAGCAAAATATTTATATATACATTTCTATAAAATAATAATAATATACATACATAATGATAAATATAATAAATTTATTATATATATATAAATTTTAAAGTGTAATGCTAAATAAATAAGTAGCTATGCTTATTTTGCAGTCGTGTCGTATCAACAACTACAGAGATTAATGGAAAATCGTGGAAAATGGCAAGAGATCCACCGACAAGAGCGCGGCTCTGAAATTATGAATATAATTTTATTAATATTATAAATGCCAAAGTTTATAAGTATGGATGTTTGTTACTCTTTCTGAACGGATTTTGATGAAACTTTACAATAATATAGCTTATACCTCAGAATAACATATAGGCTATAAAATTCATTAGTGCCAAACCGTGGCTAGTCAACTATATGTTTTAAAAACAATAAATAAAAATAAACCTATAATCACAAGTCATAAACCTGATAATTGGATAATTAAAAAAACTAATTAAGAGCTAAAAGAAAAATAAAATTAACGTACCAATGTTCTTAAATATGACGCCAAATTAGCAAACTCGTCGCTCAGTAGACATCTCAAATTCATAAATGAGGTCGGATATCCGACTACTTTCTCTGCGTCCCTAATTATATTACTCCAATTTGATGATGGAGGTCTTAACAGTAACAATATTTCATCTTTCGTCAAACTGGCCACCGTCGACTCGTATCTTTTTTGAAAAAGGAACGGCGACGCGCGCCTCATTACGCGGGAAACTGCATACGAAACTGACATAGTCTATGATTGCACTTGGAATTTTTTTTTAATGTTTGGAACGCCGCTTGCTGCTACGACATGCAGCTGACCCACAAATGCTTCTTCAGATAAGTGATTGGGTGTAGCTCTCGACTTTAGGGTTACCATCTCTATGATGTAGTTTACATTTGTTACATCTGCTCTATTAATTTTAATAGTCTAGTCTAGTGACTTTTATTGTCTGTTGTATTACGTACCTACTAAAATATTAGTAATAGAATAAGCAAGACACTTGTGTGTTGCTCTGTTGAATAGATGTTTTTTTTTTTATATAAATAATTACACGATAACAAGTAAGAGGCATGCTTTAATCAACACAGAAACCGCTACGCACTCATTCTTAGTGCAATCAGATAATATTGTCAGCGCTATAAATTTTAAGGTTTTCTACAAAAACATTATTTAACGTATGTATACTTACTAAACTATTTTATATTTAGTAAAAATTTGCATATATTTGCAATTTCAAACACATGAATAACTAAAGCTGAAATCCTAGTCAAAATTATATTTTCTTTAAATTTATAAAATTAATCACATTGTATTTATTATTTCATAGAAAATATTGGGGAAACACAATATTTTCTATGGAATAATAAATTTATTGTACAATTAAGTTAATTAAGAATAAAATATTAAATTTTTCCTCAGTTTATAGTTTAGATAATAACATATTATTAAACAATTTAAATTATGATTTACTATCAAGAGTAACTCCTTAATATTTAGTAAAAAATTTATACTGGCAACACCGCTGATCTTAACCGTGAAAAGAAACGAGGCAATCACAGGTAGCATTTATCCACACTATTTACTATATACTTTATTGGTTCACTACAACCATTCCAATTTGGACTTTATTCTGTTTGCTATAGAAGTTGATTATAATGTATTCGAGAGTATAACAAATTTGTTGATTGGTCACTTAACAGTGAGAGAGCTATGTTTTCTACGACATCTAACTAACAGAGGTCTATTAATACATCGGTTTAATGTTGATATTTTGATACGGTTTTTTTTATTAAAACTATTTCATTTATTTTTTTTACTACGAACCAGTTTTATTGTCAAATAATCTACTAATGGACTACCGATAGAACAATTAAACATTTTTGGAGAAGAATGTCTAACAATCAGTTGGAAATAAAACCTCTTTCTTATTTTATACCTATATATTTATACTAGCTGTGCTGTTTCATCAGCTTAAAACTATTCTGTGTATTATGTGTTATTCTGATGTATAAGCTATATTACTGTAAAGTCTCATCAAAATCCCTTCAGTAGTTTTTGCGTAAGACTAATAAACATCCATACTCACAAACTTTCGCATTTATATTATTATTAAGTTTTAATCTTAAAACTTAATAATAATATAAATGCGAAATTATTATATAATTTTAGTTTGTAATGTTTTCTTTTTTATATCTATAAAAAAGAAAACATTACAAACTAAAAACATCATTAATTGCATTACGTAGTTATATATCATTTTCTATTTAGTTTACTTTTTATTATATAACCTTATCTAGCTATCTAGCGTATATTGAATGCGTCTATATAATTTAGCTCTTAGGCATACATAGTGTTGGATTACAATCCAGTTCTGTACCGAACTACACGCTCCTAATTATATTATTATATTGACTGTAATCTGTTTTGTATGCTAATAAATAAATAAATAAATAAATAAAAACAACTCCGTGACTCAGAAAAATTGTGTTTTCTTATTTACCTCGTTCCTAACTAATATTCCAATAGCACGCTTCCATTGTGTCAAGTATGGTATAATAAAAGGAAAGTGAGCTTTTTACCATTCGATGGATTCAACGTACCATCCATGTCCATCATGTGGCAGAGAAGGAAACTCCGCGTAGTTCCCGGGACTTGTGACCCGGTTGTAGGTTGACCCCTTTGCCGACATACGTCAACACTAACCTTCACGCTCGTATTTCTCTCCCTGTCCAGTCAGGAAAGACTAGGTACCTTTTGATATTAATTACCTATTTTTTTTTTTTATTATATTGCTTACAACAATAAAAAATAATAATATGAAACTACACTTTAGAAATGATAATCGCTTTAAAACAACAATTTGAAAGGAAGATTTTTAATAAAGAAGAGATAAAAAAATATGGATAGGAACGAGGTCGATCAAACTATACTAATATTATATTAATACATTATCTTATCTGTGCTAATACTGACATAGAACGGCCTCGGTAGTCTAGCGGTTTACTTCGATGGTGACGGGTTCGATTCCTGGCACGATACTAACATTTGTATTCATAAGTATGATGAAAGTATACTGTTTGTGTTGGTCTGGCTATTTTCTCTATGTTTAAGTATGTATTTACAAAAAATAAACATCGATGTTTTTATATCAATTGCCTAGTACCTATAACACAAGCTCTGCTTAGCTTGTATTATGGGTACTAGACAACATGTGTCGAATGTCCAGAGTTATTATTATCAAGTTTGCACTTTTAATTGAATTCAGCAATGTTTACTATATAATATACTAACTTACAGTACCTTTTATACAATACCTAGGATATATAGTACGGAAATATATTGATAAAAAAATATATTTGAAAGAACTAAACCATACGACGACGACGACGACCCCATTTCGACGACCTCGGTGGTCTAGCGGTCTGGCACACCGCTTTACGTCCGATGGTCGCGGGTTCGATTCCTCGCACGGCACAAACATTTGTATTCATGAGTATGATTGTTTGTATCGGTCTAGGTATTTTCTATCTATCTATCTGCCATCAGCATTGTAGGTATAGTCAGATGTGTAATCATCTTTTATACGTATTATTATAATGATAGAGACAAACTCATTTGAAAAAGGGGGGAGGGATTGTTAGTAATGTGAACTAATTACTTCATCTCTAGCAATGTACCAAGGCAGGTTGACCACCACGCGTTCCTCTGGAAACCATCGTGATAAATTCCTTGTGAATCACGTTGGGCCAACTGACCTGTCCTTACGTTCATCCTATCAATCTCCACTGGTGTTCCGCCAGCCTAAACCCTTAGCGCAGGCGGATCTATCACTTCATTATCATCCACTAAAAACTTACACCTTGGATGAGCAAAAACAAATGATAAGACGATTTTTATTCAATTGAATATTTTCTTTTCCCTAAACTTAAAATTGACAAATGATAATTAATATTTAATACATACGCAGTGCACAGCTTTATCGAAAAGTGCTGATAAACAGAATCTTCAGTTGCCGAAGAATGTGTATCAATACTCAATAATACTCATAGATATTATCTGTGCTCATAGTATTAACATCGCACATACTGCCATAACGCGCGCGTCATCCTACTGCGGCTGTGCGCCTTGCCTATTGTGCATCTGTGGCGCATTGCGTTTGCGCGGGAAAAACTAACTCCAAAATGGCTTCTTCTGCAAACATTCTTCTAAACTATTGCACTTCTGATCACTTATTTTTTTACACTATTCTTCATTACTTTATCTGTCTGTAAATTACTTTTATTACAATAAAATACTCATATACAACAAGACTAGCATATAAATAAAGCCATATGAATATAGATCATACCGCTAACAATGTACGAGACCGCAGTGTCCCAATTTCAATATAGTTGGACAGTTTTAAATGTAATTGTTAATTTCATACTAAATCTGTAAAACGCTGACTATGTTCTTATAGCGACTGTTGCTTGCGTCATAAGTTCTGACTTACATTCGTTCAAACATCAACGGTGTCACATCTAAATTTACTACACCTAGAAATATATTATATTATACATATTTTAGTTACTAAGAATGTAGTATCTTTACACAGTATAAAACAAAGTTCCCACCGGTGTCTGTTCGCTTCATCTTTTAAATTACGCAACATTTTTTTATAATGTTTAAATTCATTCATTCATTCATAATTTAACAACTACTCTTATTGATGAATCTACCGTCATTCTCTTTAAATATTGATATGACAAAACCCCAATTTTGTCTTTAATTTTCTTAATGTAAGTACACCTCAGTTGTCCCCTCCCCTTCTTCCTTTTATTTTCCCTCTATGTTTAAATTATGTATTATAAATTATATCTGTATGTACTGTACTGAGTTAATACTGATTTTTTTGACAATTCGCAGAGCGCCATATATTCACTAAGCAGAGCTTGTTATAATTATGAGTACTAGACGACTGATACTTAAATATATATATATTTGTAAAAACACGTATAGAAAACACCCAGACAAACAATCATACTCATGAATACAAATATTTGTACCGTGCGTGGAAACGAACCCGCGATCATCGGAAGTAAAGCGGTGTGCTAAAAACTAATCTGTTAAGGTATTGTAATGTTGTTGAAATAAATAAATAATTCTTCATTACTTCATAATATTTTTTATTAATAATTAAATAATACTTATTTTTAAATAATACATATAGCCAGTCCTTTTCTCACTACCATACAAATATTCCTTTTTATATTTAAAAGATCTTCCTTTTTCTTACTTTATCTTCACTCTTCTTTTCTTTTTTACACGTTGCCGTTTTTGATATATTTTTATTATATTTTACACATGGCAACACAGTGTCTATGCTGCCCAATACTCTCACCATAATGCCAAACAAAACTAAAATCCTGCTCTACATGTGATCTCAGTTAACATAGAGGGCTTTTCACAATGTAAATTTATTGTACTAGCGGAATTGTGCTAAAAAACGCAGTGTAATGTCCTTTGACTATAAGAAACTCATTTTTTATTTGGATATTGTATTTCGTTTAACAGCTATTGTTGACTCTGAACCTCTTTTCCGTTCTTTGACTATTATGCTTTTCTTTTCTTTTTATCTTTCTCTGATATTCCCCAAATTCTCTTCGTTAGCGGCCATTGCAACGAATAAAAGAATATACATAGTAATCCGATAAATATCATTACAATATAAAAATATATAGTTCCGTATATCTTCTGGAATACTGGATACACCCATCTCTTATGTTCTGTATACGTGTAGATTAACCTTAAAAGAAAAAAACGTATAATTATTTTTTATGTAATTGAATGGCAAATAAGCTTATGGTTCATCTGATGGTAGGTAGCAACTATCACCTATTGGGGAAAGGGATTGTTAGTAATGTGGACTGATGACCCCATTGCTAGCAATGTACTACGTCAGGTTGACCTCCACGTGGTTCCCCCTGGAAACCATCGTGATAAATTCCTGGTGAATTTGTTACGCAAGAACAGACAAACAGACAATTTTTTAAAATGATTTAATTTTATGTAAATACTGTATATAGCTAATGTGTATTTATTAGTATAGTTATATTAGTTATACATAAAATATAAGTAATTTTTTCAGTTGTTTATACCCATAACACTAGCCGATAGTCTGAGACTAGTCCCAAGTAGAGTAAATCACACAACCTTATCTGGATGACGCCGTGTGAATTTTTTTATGGATGATAATGGAATGGTGCAGTTATGGGCTAACTGACCTGATCTCATGCTCATTTTATCATCCCTCACTGGTGCCCCGCCAGCGTAAACCGTTAGCGCAGGCGGGGGCTCCATTCCATTATCATAAGTAACTATGTAATATGTAATAAAAAACTATCGCCTATATACATGAAAAGCACCACGGAAAGCATGTTATCATAAGGCGACTGTGATATCAGTCATGCGTTGCTACTCCAGAGAACTAAGATGTCATGCCTCTTATCCTGTAATTTTGCTGATTAATCCGAAATGCAGCAAACAAAGCAAGCCGCTTGGCGGCTGCAATGGGTGAGACTGAGGTGAGAAAGTTTTTACAAAGTTTATATAATATATACGTATCTATATCGTATAGACATAGACATATATGTATTTTTCTCTGATCAGCATTATAAATTTTATGCTGATATAGAATTGTAAAAAAGTCATCTGAGTGGCAATAAATATTGTAAAAAATAAACAAAATGTTACATTTGAATTTGGTATATGTCATTCTTTTATGAATGTTCATTACGTATTTACTTTGCCTTTCCTTTAAAGCCTTTAAAATAAAAAAAAAAGATAATTGTGTTTTCTCATTTTCGCGCCAATCGATTGTCAAATATTTTTGTTATATTAAAATGGAATGGGGTTATAAATAGATCAAATATATTTTTTTCAACTTTCCATCGCCTTATTAGTAAAAACAATATAGATCTAGATCCTTATTAGTCGAATTTAGGAGAGCGCAAACAGCCTCGCAACCACTATAACATATATATCAGATTGTCCTCTCCAGAACACTGAATCATTGCACTGCTACGTACCCAGTACTTCTGGACGTGGACATGTATAAATAGAATAGAATACAAAATTCTTTATTCAAATAAATTCATATTGAAGCACTTTTGAATAGTCATCACTTATTTTTTTCAATTCGCTCCACTCGAAGACGAGCAAGAAACTTGCGTGTTGCATATGAATCGAGAGATATATATAATAATTTACTAACATAGTTTATAAGTTTTTTTACTAACATAACATGGATGGATATCCGAAATAATTAAATAAGATGTATACTTACACACTCAAATACAATACAAGATAAAATATTAAATACAGTACATTCTTGATATGCGACTTCGGTATGGTTCTTTGTTGAAAGATTACTTCCCAAAGTGCTATAGGTATTATAGCAGTATGCATTATATGATTTGACAGTGGCGTCAAGATTTTGTCCAGGAAAGGTGGGAAAATCAAGTCTCTATCAACCACATATAAAGTCCAGAAGAATGTGAACACCAGCTGAAATAATAAAAACATTATATATATAGCTTTTCTTATTTTTATTTCTCTATCCACCCAAAGGTAGTCTGGAAGATGTTTAGCGATAAGACCGCCTTTTATATCAGTTAATGTATATTTTCTATTTTAATTGTTTTTTTGTTCTGTGATTGGTGCAATAAAGAGTATAAAAAAATATATTCAGTTTCAGTATCTATGGGACACAGTTACCTAGATACAACAATGTATGTAATAGTTTCAATGAATTAAGGCCAGTGAAACAAATTGAATAGTGCCTACTAAGCACTGCACAAACCGTGTCACCCCTCCTTCTATTTGACTATTGTTATTTAGTATATCAGGCTCCAGTGGAGGCTGATAAGATGAGCATGAGGTCAGGTCAGTACATCGTGAGAAAGGAAGAAATTTATATATTTATTTTTATTTAAATAACTTTAATGCACGTCATACACAGGTAAAAAGAACAAATGGTAGACTTAACACCTTATGGCATTTTCTACCAGTCAACCATGAGTTGTGCAGAGATAAGTTGTTGGCGGTGCAAACAATATTATAATAATTTTATCAAACGTACACAAAAAAACATAAAAACATATACATACAAAAATATAACATACATACATCCATACATACTTGCCTCATAATCTGACAATGAATTTATCGTAATGGTTTCCAGGGGAAACTGCGTGGAGGTCAAGCTGACATGGTACATTGCTAGCAAAAGTCATTAGTTCACATTACTAACAATCTCCCCTACCCCCACCGCCACCCCCCACCCCCGCACCCTACCACTGTAGCGTTAAATATGATGTGAGGAGGTGTAGCTACTTGATTATTGTTTATTATTTCCTGTAGTATCTAGGTATTGAGTATACATAAACATTCCACATGTTTGCACTACATTAACAAGTTTAATGATCATGTGCTACATGGCTTATTAGAAACGCGGAGTCATAATGCGGACTGACTTTACACTGAACTTAAATCTAAGTTATGTGAAGACGTAAACTAATGGAAGGGTGCTGAGTGCTGACATCAATATTACAAACTAGCTATACCCGCGGTGTCACATACATAAAATTTGTAGCCTATGTATTTCTTATTCTGATATATAAGCTATATTATTGTAAAGTTTCATCAAAATCAGCAGTTTTTGCGTCAAAAAGTAACAAACATCCATTCATCCATATATAACTTACGCGTTTATATTAGTAAGATGTATGTAGAATCGGGATTGAATGATGAACTATTACTTCTGAGATATATATTTATTGTACCTTACCTTACCTTTCTACACTATTAAATCACTTTAAAACACCTTTTTACTTATTACTCCTTTTAACTGTCTTAACTTCCACTAACTCCCTGCTCTCTCTCTACACTTACATATCGTATCATTCTCTCTCTTTCACACCATACTCCAATATACGCATCTTTTATTATGAAGTACTTTTATCGTCTATCATACATGTATGACAAAAAAGTTTCATTTTTATAATATTAATATAAACGAAAATACATACGAAAGTGGAAGGCCATACAATAGCAGCAAACAGCGTATCCCTGAACCCCTTGAGATGTCTCGGTAGTTTATAGTTTTTATTGGTACTTTTCAATATCATACCATCGCAAATCAAACCACAGACCGCGTAGAACACTTGTAGAAACTGTAATAAAAACAGATAGTATATTAGTAGAAACTGTAATAAAAACATAAAGATAACTTAGGTTACTTGACTAATCATGACTTATGAAATATTTCGAAATTATTACGCGGACGAATATGTTTTAAATGGATTTTTTATATAATAATATCTTATATTTGTGGTACTTGAGAATGTTGAAGCCTGTTGTAAAAATTTGTGTTTAGTATATTAGTAAATTTATTATTAACATACATATGAAATAATATTTATAGGCCCATATTATAAATATCTTATAAACTAACATACATATGAAATAATATTTATGTATTAATACTAAACACTGTTCTGTTACACTAGAAATCACTAGATAGACTGCGAATCCAAGCTGCGATGCAAGCAAGTTTTTTTTTCAAACTATTCTAATTCTTATTTATATTGCTAATAGGGTTGAGAACCGAATAATTTTACAGTCAATTAGTTGTCCCGGCAAACGTTGTTTTGCCATATAAAATAAAACCTTTGACGACCTCGGTGGTCTAGCGGTTTAGCACACCGCTTTACGTCCGATGATAGCGGGTTCGTTTCCTCGCACGGTACAAACATTTGTATTCATGAGTATGATCGTTTGTATCGGTCTGGGTGTTTTCTATGTATAATTTGTATGTATTTACGAAAGAAATCTATGTATTTGTATCAGTTATCTAGTACCCATAACACATACATAGCTAGCCTAACTGGGGTCTAGTGAATAGTGGTTAGTAGGTTTATGTGAATTGTCCTGAAATTATTATGATTATAATTTGTAACAAACCTACGAAATAGTGTATCGACACGTTGATTTGTTCTATATTACCATCAGGTGCATCGTCAGTCTGTTTGTCATTCACATTACATAAAAAACACGGACTCTTTTGCACCCTCTTAATAGGGTGCAAGGGACGAACCCTTGCCCCGGCGCCATCTCCGAGGGCAACAACTCCAAGGGTTCAGGATTGGCAGCTTTTGTTATTTTGGCAGGTGTTCTTAACATATACTTAAAATTATAATAGCTATACAACTAACTTAAGATTAACTTATCCTAACTTAAGTATGAGTTCTATATTTAGGGGTCTTTTTAAGATTTTTATTTTTTGTTGTATTGTTGATTTTTATTCTTGTATACGGTTTTTTGTTTATATTTCTTTTTGCTATAGACACGCTATACACAAAATGAATATCAGGAATAAGAAAAATGGTCTGATACCTTTACATTTTTTTCTTGTAATTGGTATAACAAACTATCTAACGGCCCACCTGATGGTAAGTGGTAACCGTCGCCTATATACATGAATAACACAAACATCACATTATCAATGTGACACCCGTGATATCACTCATGTAGCCATTCTAGAGGACTAAGATGTCATACCTATTATCCTGAAATTTTACTACTTTATCCGAATCATGGTAAAGCAAGCTTATCGGCTTAAAGCACTCTTGTAAAGCTATACAAGGCCGAATCATGGTAAAACAAGCTTAAAGCACTCTTGCAAAGCCATACCAGTATTACAGGAAAGCTTTGCGAGAAAATGACAAAGATCACATTATCAATATGACATTCGTGATACAACACATGCGTTTCCTGAATTCAGTGCTGAAGACTAAAATACCATGCCTCTTATCCTGTAATTTCACTACTTTATCTTACTTTAACTGAATCATAGTAGAGCATGCTTGTCAGCTTGAAACACTCTCGCAAAGCCTCCCTGGAACCCATACCATAAATGGAGCGGATGACCCTCTTTTAAACATAAATACTGTATTTATATCAGCTGTTTTACTCCATAATAAAATACCACAAAACAATGCTATTAAAATAGCTAAAGTAAACAAGTTTACTCACGAATGTCCAGCGAGTGAAGTAGCGACTTCTCATTTCCAAGTATCCCCTAATGTGTGGATCAGCCATTATGTGTATTGGTTTGGGTAGCCCCATCACGTACCAATTGCCAATATGGAGAACGATGGTTGCAACATAGCCGAATATTCGAAAATATATATGCCGGGACATACTGCAAAAATATATTCAAAACATAATATAGATCCATCGTTCCAGCATCTAGTGATACAGGTATTATAGAGGAGGTTATTACTGATGAGGTGCCACTTCGAGCTCATTGAAGAACGTATTATATTAAAACTAGCTACTCGCCCCGGCTTCGCACGGGTGTACATGTATTATATATATAAACCTTCCTCTTGAATCACTCTATCTATTTAAAAAAAACTGATTCAAAATCCGTTGCGTAGTTTTAAAGATTTAAGCATAGATAGACAGACAGCGATAGCGACTTTATTTATACTATCTAATTTCTGAATATGTGAAAGTCGTGTGTATAAACATAACGTCACGACTTTTATCCCAGATGGGGTAATCAGAGTCATCGTCAACTGTCGATATTATGATGGAACACTTGACGTGCCCACATTTGGCTTTGTATTTTCTGTATCCGACGAGGCAATGGTACTGGTATTCTGGTATTTTTTTTATTGATATTTGATCACCATTAGAGAAGGTCGTAACGATAGTCAAGCTTCCACACAGGATATTCGTGGCCTCACACATGCTAATTGTAGCGGAATTAAACAAAATAATAGAAATCTATCAAGTTTTTTTTTTAGTTTTTTATTTCCCCGATCATAAAGAGTGAGATAGAAATTTAACATTATTTTTATTCGACAGATGAAGGTACAATGTATAAGGTGTCCACGTCGCGCCATCTAATATATAATAATAAATGTATTAATATAATTATAGTTGACGTATTAAAATTATTTACAATGTCAATTATTTCCTCTTTTGTGGGGTATTTTAATTTTCTCAGCTTTCGTTGGTCTACATATTAAGACAAAAAGAACGAAAAGAAAGACGTTTTTAAGTAAAACCTTGATACACAAACAGACGAACAAACAGTTTTTGTCTCTCACAATTTTACAATTTTATTTATATATAAAAGTTATAAGTATAAAAACAATTTTACTTACTTCGAAATCTATAAATAGAAGTAGGTTCGCTTGGTATTAATAAACAGGTAAAAATAACAATGTATGGTGAATCAGTATGATAACCAGTGTTAATAAATAATTACTCTGTGACTGCACAGTCTAATGAAGATGGTAGCGGTGAGTACGTCGACCACTCCTTATATGCTACCGCATAATAGTACAAAATACAACTAACAATACGGTTCAAATTGTTTTAACAATACATTTTAACTACGTTCCAAATAACGGAGACTTCCGTTTATAATAATAATTAAAAAACACAGAGTACACAAACACAGGTCACGGACAACGAGTATTGACTGACTCAAGCCAAGCGACGTGACACACGGTGTTGCCAGATAACCGCCATGCTTTCCCCATTAATTTTGACCAAATACCCCAAAATTTAGGTACGTTGAAAAATTTCGATTACTGTATTAATAATTTAATTTAATTTGAATGCGAAAAAGTTAATTTATTTATGTTACTTCAGGCAACTAAATATTATTTTATAGATGACTATAGAATGGTGCACCCGCTTACTCTAACGGTTTACGCTGGCGGGGCACCAGTGAAGGATGATAGGATGAACATGAGGTCATATCAGTTAGCCGCCAGTTAGATCTGTTAGCCAGTTTTCAGGGATCCTCATGGAGGTCAACATTACATGGTACATTGCTGGCAGTAAGGTCATCAGTCCACATTACTGACAGTTCCCTTTCACCCCACGTAATATTATTTAAATAACAATATTAACTAACATATAAATATAAAATAATAAATTAAATCTTTGTGGTCACCACAATCATTACAGCACTCCCTTCGGCCAGTAGTCTTCCTTCATGAAGGTCCATGTTGTTAAGGCCCGGGCCACACCAAACGAACTTGTGTTTTTTTTTCTCCAGATACAATATTGGTATTAAGGTACCAAATCTCCAACTCTCCTCAACTTATATTGTCGTCTCCCCACAAAATCTTCAATCTGGTATCACTAAAGGGACGAGACACGCGAGGTACCCGCTTCGGAATCGATGTACGGTTCATCGAATGATGCGAATACGAGTTAGGTGTCGATTGACGGATTGAATATAATGTATATACCAAAATCTTGATACTACTTTTTATCACATAAATAAACAGTTTAGGAATCGATACACGATTCATCGATTCATGTGAATACGAGTTATATGTCGATTGACGGATTGAATACAACGTACATACTAAAATCTATGGTTGTCCTATATTCAGGTGAGACAAAAGTAATTGTTAATAATAGAACGATGCACCCGCCTGTACTAACGGTATACGCTGGCGGAGCACCAGTGGAGGATGATAAGATGAGTATGAAGTAAGTTCAGTTAGCATATCATGACAAATTCACCAGAAATATAACTTGATGGTTTCCAAGGGAAACGTGGACGTGAACCTGACATGGTACATTGCTAGCAATGGAGTCAACACTTCACGTCACCATCCCCTTCCCTCTATGGTGAGACAGAATTATTGGACAACTTCATACAAAATCTACCTCACAATCTTACAATCATGTCCTGCCAAGAATTAGTAGCGAATTCCTAATAGTGCAAACGCAGTAGATCTTCTACGGTCACAGTGCTACAAGTCTACAAAACAAACAAAAAATCAAGTCTTTAAAATCAGTATGTATAATTACAAGAATTAGATATAATATTTTGATGTCTATTATAAAAAAAATAAATGAAAAAATAAAAAACTAACAGTCAACATAATATTATATTTTTATATATCCCGTTTACTTCTCAAACTCAGTACGTCATAAATAATTTTACATCATTTTTATACCAAACTCTTCTTTCTCTACCGTACTTTCTTCTTAATCTTTTCTTTCTCCACTGTTCCCCAAATTGCTCTCGTCAACGGCCATTGTAGGGAATAAAATATTCCACATAATAATGCGACACCTACCAATACAATATAGAAATGTATAGTTCCGTATATCTTGTCAAATATAGGATACACCCATTTGTTTTGTTCGACGTACGTGTAGATCATCCTAAAAAAGAAAATATACAAATATATAGTAGAGAAACTGAAGTGGCAACGGGCAGGGTACATAGATCGAAGGACAGATGGCCGTTGCGGTAATAAAGTCCTCGAATGGCGAGCGCAGCCCGGTGGATGCGGCGTGGGAAGGCCTCCAGCAAGGTGGACCGACGATCTGGTCAAGATAGCTAGAAGGCAATGGATGCGAGCAGCGCAGGACCGATCGTCGTTGAGATCTTTGGAGGAGGCCTTTGTTCAGCAGTGGATGTCTTTCGGGCTAAGATGATGATGATGATGATGATAGTAGGTATATATATTTCTTATATATAAAATTCTCGTGTCACAATGTTAGTTATCTTTCTCCTCCGAAACGGCTTGACCGATTTTTATGAAATTTCCAAATGCATTCAGTAGGTCTGAGAATCTGATACTAAATACTAAAATAATTTTGGCACATATTATTTTATTATCAAATTGTTTGTATCGATATTTCAAGTACGTATAAAGTTGTTGTTCATTAATGAATTTTGTTTTTAGTTAATGAACAAAATAAAGAATTGATATCAAATCAGAGTAAATCAAGACTTAAATTGATTACAAATAAATGGTTCATGAGTAATTAATGTTTTTTATCATATATCTATCATTACATATCTATTATTGAAATACTTACACACTCAAGTACAATCCAAGATATAATACTAAATGAAATGCATTCTTAATATGCGATTTGGGCACAGATCTGGGTTGAAAAGCCACCTCCCAAAGTGCTATTGGGACGATGGCTGTATGCATTATATGGTTTGATGCTGGCGCTAAGATTTGGTCCAAAAACGGAGGATAAATGAGACCTCTGTCCAGCACGTATAAAGTCCAGAAGAACGTAAAGACCAGCTGAAAATATAAGTTATTTACACATATAAATAAAATTAGAGTGTCTGTTTGTAATATTGAAATAACCGTTTTTTACTATATGCATATATTTGGTACATATACCAAAATAACATTTTTTACAATTTTTGTCTGTCTGTCTGTTTGTTCTGTCTAATCTCTGAAATGGCTGGACCGATTTTGACGGGAGTTTTTTTGGTAGGTAGCTGATGTAATAAAGAGTAACTTAGACTACTTTTATTTTAGAATAAAATCTTTTATATTAGATAAATAAAGTTATATTCCACGCGGACGAAATCCAGGGAACAGATTAGTAATAATAAAATTTATTCATTCCATTCCATTAGTACCTATACACAATTTTTTTAAACAATAACCATCTTGTAAATGTGTTAAAATGTTAAAAATAATATAAGAGAATGAACCGAAACTATGCTAAGAAAACCTCGCCTCACAGCTACCTAAGAAGTGATATTATAAGGTCTCACTTTAACTTAAGGCATGACATCTTTGTCTTATGGAATAGCGACCTATGAAGCGCTGTTCATGTATATTGACGACTTACCACTTACCATCAGGTGAGCCGTCAGCTTGTTAACCATTACAATAATGACCCTGGACAATTCACAGCGTCATCCAGTCCCAAGCTAAGCATGATTTATGTTATGGGTGCTACACAACCCATGGACGTACTTAGATACATTTTTTGTAACATACAGACACAATATACATAGAAAACACCCAGACCGATACAAGCAGTCATACTCATACATACATAAATACAATTTTTATTTGTTTATATTCCATAAGTTTATATATTTGCATATGTATATTATATATTATTTTTCTTATATTTATCTGTTTTTATATTAATTATTACATTGCACCGCCTTACTCGTGTATCTCTGATCAACGATACGGTTGACTGGTAGAGAATACCATCACGCATTAAGTCCGCTATGTGTGCAAAATAATAAATAAATAATACTACAGGTCTAATAAGAATAACACATATAGATATGATCAAGTTGTGCCGTCGGCTTGTTTGTCATTCCAATTATATAAAAAAAATGTGTAAATAAAGTACATACCAGTGTAGAAGGCCAAACAACAGCTGCAAAGAAAAGATCTTTGAATCCCTTAATATACTTCGGAGGTTGTTTCTTGGAGTTCAACAGAGTCAGAGTATCGCAAATTAGACCAGTAATAGCAAAAAATATTTGCATGAACTGAAAAAGTATAGTAAATAATATTAGTCTTATATATAAAATTCTCGTGTCATTTCTCTCTCGAGCAGTCAACCTGCTGTGAAACGGCTTAACCGATTTTTATGAAATATGCATCTCCATTTGGTCTGAGAATCTGCTACTATGTATTTTTCATATCCCTAAGTGATATGTATTATTATATTATTTTTATTTTTTGGACATTTTTAATGTGGCATTAAAAAATATATACAACCCTAAATTATCACCCTTCTATCGCCAACCCCTATTTTTTAATAGCGATTTTAATTTGAGAGTATTAAAGTGATGCTTTTCAATATTTTAATAAAATAATCAAATTTTTCTTTTAAATTTTCCCGATGCAGATTTTGTAAGAAGTCTGCGTAAGTACCTCAGTGTATCCTATTTCAGTTACCAAGAAGCTTGCTAGGTGTGTTTCGGTTCAGGAAAATAAGGCAATAAGGCTAGAAATTACGATATAATATAGAGAAATAACAAATAAATCCTTCGTAATGGCAATTACAGACTTCAATGACAGTGTCCTTGAGACTATTCGTTATCAATTACAATCAGATGGTCCGTCACTTTGTTTGTGTTCAGTACATTTTTATGAAATTTATGTAAATATTATTAAACCTAAATTTTTATGGTTTGCATATTTGGTAGTTCATATTCCCATAAAACCCCCATATCCCATGAAGCCAAGACGTGTCACTGAAAAAAGACATGCTATGAAATCATTACTGAATGCTAAACAACAGTCAATTATAATAAACCCCAGTATAAATTACAGGACGGCATCTCACCTCAATTTTGTTATGGGCTAGACAACTGATATAACATTTTCTCGTACACGTATTCATGGCTGATCTAGTGCCCACATTATCCTATAACATTTTCTAGAAGAAATCTCTTTTTAGAGATAAGCTAACACTTGTACAAATTAAAATTCAAAATATCTTTATTCATGTAGGTCTATTACAGACTCTTATGATATGTCAAATCTACCGTCAGTTCGGAATGATTTCGAGATGAGAAGAACTGACAAGAAACTCAGTTCGTATTTTTTTTTAATGTTGTACATATTTACAATATTACTATTTCATTTAAATTCAAATTTGGGAGAATAGAGTGAGTACATTACATGTATCTTATTGCTGTTATATGTGAGTACAATAAAGAATAAATGTTTAGATTTTTTTTTGTATTTACAATATACATGTAACACTGTGTCCTGCATAGATCTAAAATGCTCGCCCTTTTTTTAAAGTTCGCTACCTGTCATGAACAAGAATTGAAAGATATTCTTTAGAGCGATGGTTATTATTTCCTCAGGATAGAGTGTATATATATATATTTTTCAAAGAAGATATTTCGTTTATACATGAGTGAGCTACAAACACATAGGATGTGTAGTGACGTTTCCATGTATACAAACTATAGGGTGTAGTAAAAAGAAATGCATTATTTTTGATTGAAATTGAAAGTTTATTTACTATAGTTAGAATGATCCGATTTATATCAAATATGTGCCGTTTTATTCGAAACTATTTTGTCATTTTGAAGGTAATTTCATTATACTATATTTACTTACAACTGTCCAATGCGTTAGGAATCGACTCCGCAATTCAACGAATCCTCTAACTTTTGGATCGGCTAATATGTGCTTGGGAATAGGTTGGGTCATTATAATCCAATTTCCAACGTGAAGGGAAATTGTCACGACATAACCCAATAGTCGGAGGTAAATATGACCTGACATTCTGTAACGATAAATGAAAATAGATTATTTTATTTGACGATAATGCCTGCTAAATTTTATATACATCCGTTATTTCATTGTTTCATTGTTTTGTTTTATTGGGAGAGCTATGGTAGTGAAATTACACGGTGCGTAAGTATGAACCCAGAATGACAACGCATAAGGGGCACTACAGGTATCGCATAACTATGGTGCTGTTCATGTACATAGAAGTCGGATGCCTTAAGATGTTTTTACTTTAATAAATCTCTGGTAAGTCAGAGGATTATCAAAATCAGAAACATTAATTCGTATTTGGTATTTTTTTGGCATATATATGCGTCCACGATAAGTGGACTGCTGGAATCCATCGTGATTAATTCCAGGTGAGAAACTGACTTAACTTCATGGCCTATCATCCTCCACTGGGCCCTCACAGCGTACACCGTTAGCGCTAGCGTGTGTACCATTATTACCTATTAATTAAAAAAAAACTATGCATTGAAGTCTTAAACCTTGTAAACCACTGTACCATGATATTAAAAAAAATAGCAATTAAAAATACCGTCTGCCTACCACTTAGCAACATTGTATTCTAAAAATAATAAAACAAAACTTACTTTAAAACCTGCTAAAATACACTTTTACACCATAAATAATAAGTATTCTAATAAATACTTAATGCAGTATAAAATAGAGTTCAAATTATTCTAACAATATTATTTCTATAAATTCCACGCAATAATGACACTAGTTGTTTGAATTGTGAAGTAGAGGAACAAAGATCATGGACAACGGGTACATATAAACTAAAATCAACTAAAATGTACCCATTCAGAACTAGATACTGGCGATGGCGTGTGGTGGTAACGGCATAACGGTAGATAATCTAGTGGTGGTATCGCGTCAAACGAGATATCGATAAATACTTACTTATTTGACACACTTATCTTTTATCGATAACTAATGTATGTTAGTAATGACTAACTAGTAATATATGACGATATTATTATATGAATGTTTGATATTTTTTCAAACTTAATATTCTAGTTTACCAACAGTTAGTGTAATTAACATAAATAAATAAATTAAATCTAATAGTTAAAGTCTTTACTAGTGAAGGATAATAATAATAATGAGTAACCCAATTGACCTGCACATAGTATACTAGCTGTTCAAGTTAAATTCCACGCGGATGAAGTCCATCCGCGTGGAATTTAACTTACAGATGGCTATATATAGAATTTACAGATGGCTGTCACGAGCAAAGTAAAGTAATTAAACTATAAGTCATTTTAAAATATAATGAAATTTATTTCTTTGTTATAAAAATATTTTTTTATGTCACCATCCTACACTTGTGTATCATAATTAACACATTAGAACTTACCTTGTCTTAAAAAAATATAAAACAGGACTTATAAATACTGTAATTAATTTCGATTACCTTATTCATTGGTTGCACATCACTAGCAGAGAGGGGGAGATAACATTTATTGCTGTCTCTGTCATTCGCCGGCACCGTACGCAAAAAAAATAACGTTATGTAAAGCGGACCTTAGATAAAATTTTATCTAAATAAATTCTAATAATAAAATATTGGGACACTGTTATTGTTCGATATGAAGGAACCCATTCTGACTATACTCGATATAGTAAAAGTTCATCTATTAATTATGTTGATACATTAAACATCGTAAAAAACAACGTAAAATTTGTTTGCTAGTGTGTTAAATTTTAGCTTACAAACGACTAAGAAAATTAGGATGAAATTAAGTATTATTAGTTTAAAATAACTGTACTAAAGAAATTTAAAAAAATACGTGAGGTATTTTTCTAAAATGAAAATGAGATAGTAATTTAGTAATGTTCTTGTTTTTGTTAGTTATTATTTCTAAAGTATTACCAATACTTTTAACTGTAACACTATTACTAATTATGTTATCTGTGCTTCCGATGGTCGTGGGTTCGATTCGTCGCACGGTATTCATGAATATCATTGCATCGCTTATATCAGTACGAGTATTTTCTATGTATTTTATGTATGTATTTACATAATAATAATCTAAGTATTTATATTAGTCATCTGGTATCCGTAACATAAAGCCGCTTACCGTGGGACTAGATGACGTTGTGAATTGTCCGGCAGTATTATTATTATTATAATATGGCAGTGAAATTACAGGGTAAATGAGTTCCTCTCACAGAAAGAATAATTACATAAATTAATATGTACATTAAATATGAAAATAATAACAAAATAATTATAATATAGAGGTAAAAATGGGCGGCCGCTGTAATTTAGACTGTGTCTGGTCGAGCTATAACAATTAGTTGTTGGATGTACAATTTACATATTATATACACACTTATTCTTGTTCTTATCTATTCCGGAATACTTCCGGAATAGATAAAGAACCTAACATCATGTTATGATGTAACGTCTTGAATCACTTATAACTATCTACAAAAAAAATAAACCTTCCTCTTGAATCACTTATCAAAATCCGTTGCGTAGGTTTAAAGATTTAAGCATACATAGGGACGGGCAGACAGCAACAGCGACTTTGTTTTATACTATGTAATGATAAAAAATTGTAAATTTTTAGTCGACTATATTTCTGCTATGATAAACCAATGTCCTTGTAAGAACTACCGTACATAATATATCTTGATGATATAATATGATAAGCTGTTGATAAAATAATTATATATTAATTATTATTCGTATGCTAATCAACTATATCTAACTATCAATCCTTACTTCCTTACCAAATATTATTAATGCAAATATAACTCTGTCTGTCTCACTTTCATGCCAAAGCTACTGAACCGATTTAAATGAAAATACACATGTAATAATGAAAGGATATGGGCTACTTGCTAATGCGAAAAAAGGGTTGTAAGAGGATATGAAAGTTTGTCTGGAAGTATTGTCAGTTTTAAAGCTAGAAGCTAGAAACTTATGTTTTAGGCTATTGATTGATTGAATATTGCAACTTAACTTTGCCTTTTTTGGGTTAGATTATTTAATATTTTTCTTTATTTGGTCAAGATCACTATGACACGCGGACGAAGTCGCAATCACAGCTAGTTTATAATGAAACCAGGATAATATGAAAAACCATTTTTATTCGAAAAATAAATATTAAATTATTAAATAATTAACACATGCATTCTTATTCACTATTTACATGGAAAATTGAATGCATTAGAATCTCACTTTTTCTCACTACATAATTTTTAATTAACATCATTAATGTTCTTTTTTTAAAAATCAATTCAAAGTACAAAATGGCGTCTTTATTCGACGGAAGCCCCGTTTACACTTGGTAAGTGTTACTTACGTAAATACGAGTAAATTTATTTCATTAATATAAAGTCGTACTTTGTAAATTACAATGATTTACTAGAGAGATTATAGTTGGAAATTGATAATAAATAAATTACGTAAAAGTACTTACGTAGGTAATACACGATATTCTAAAAAATTAGATTGGAAGTCTAGTCTACAAACCAAGTAATATTATATATGCGAAAGTTTGTAAGTAGGGATGGATGAATGTTTGTTACTCTTTCACACAAAAACTACTGAACAGATGAAACTTTACAATAATATAGCTATATACATCAGAATAATACAAAGGCTCTAAATTTCATTGGGGTAAAACCGCGGGCACAGCTAGTAAACGAATAAATGAAATCATATTTTTTCTCTGCTCTTTCAATTCATGTTCTGAATAGACATGCTAAGACACTCTCAGCAAATATAATCTAAAAGATTAATTTAATTTGGTTAGATTTGACTACTTTTCGTGTTTGGTTAGTAACAGCTTCGATGATTCTACATTCTACCTTGTTCTATTCTTATTTATATTATACTATTTTTTTTAGTCTTAACCCACCTTTGATCGCCTTTAAACCTGTAAGTTTTGTTTCAGTACATACATTAAAATAATTTACTTAATCAACTTAGGTATATACAAAAACGACAAGTTACTTACTAGTAAACTTGCAGATCTAAAGGCGGCATTTTGTGACGATATGGCATAAACGTTCCATTTTCAAACACATTTTCATTTTGTTAATGTATTTTTATTTTTGTATTCTCTTTCTCCAATCGGCCCCAAATTATCTTTGTAAGAAACCATTGGATGTAATAAAATATGACGCATATTAATAGAAGAGACGCCAGGACAATGAAGAAGTACGGTGTTCCATACAGCCTCTTGAATACAGGGTATATCCATACGTTCCGTTCTACGTATGTGTATATCATTCTGAAATCATATAAGTGATAATTATTAATATATTGTTTAGGTACTTTTAGTATGTAATTTTAATATCTAAATTGATCACTAGATGGCGTTGCAGATTTAATGATCGTGTATACTAGTCGTCGCTTGTGGCTGCTCTTGTTTTTTTAAGGACACCACTGTCTTATTTTTTGATAATAAACACTAGGACTTATTTTTTTATGTCACATTTTCAGATAAAAAAAATAATCGATTACAACGTAATAGATTTATTAGAGTATTAAATCAATTGATTATAGAATGAAAGACAACAATAGTATTTGGGAAGATTCCTAATAGTGAGTCTAAAAATAAAACTCGTAAGTCACTGTAATGACACAAAGTAGGTCATGCGCGAAATTCTCCATTAAACTCAGTAACGTAATTGTTGGTCACTTAAGGAAAATTATACTGTACTATTTCTGCAACAATCTTCTATAATATCCCAGTAGCAAAGACCTCAATCATTGTAAATTATCAGAAAATCATTGCTGCAATGCATGTTTGATAATAACAATCATTATATTGAGTTGATCCAAGGATAGCAAATCCAGTACTGATCGTTAGACTACACTAATATTATAAAGAGGAAAACTGTTTATATGTTTGTAACGAATAAACTCAACACATACTTGACCAATTTTTATCATTCTTAAACTAATATGAACTAATACATTGCTAACAATGTACCTCATGTATGTCAAGTACTGCTCTATGTGCTTTCTTTCGGAGAAACCATCGTGATAAATTCATAGTGAATTTACCACGACGGTGACCTATCTGATCTGACCTTATGCTTGTCGTATCATCCTCCACTGGTGGCCCACCAGCGTAAACCGTTATCTCTGGCGGGTGCACCATTCCATTATCATCCATAAGAAATATATATATATATATTGACAGACAGAGTAGCCCGAAAATATAAGTAAAAAATATTATGATATAAATATATAAATAAAAAAAACTTACACAATGAAATATAACACAAGATGGAACGTCAAATGCTTCAGATTCCTTGCATGCGACTTCGGGATATATCTCGGTTGGAACACGACCTCCCACAGGACAATAGGTATGATGGCTGTATGCATTATGTGATTCGACGTTGGTGTTAGGTAATCGTCCACAAATTCAGGATATATAAGACTTCTATCGTATATATACAGGGTCCAGAAGAATAAGAAGACCAGCTGAAAATAAATAACATTTGGGTATTTATTTATCTACCAAATATATGTACATAAAAGGAGAAGACTAAAGAAAAGATAGATGGACTGTGTGAAAGATACCGTGTATAAAAGGAGAGTAAGTTCAGATGTGACGGACGATAGGGATCAGTGGAAGAAGATGACATACTACGCAGATCTCAACGCAATGATGATTTATATACCAGGTGCCTTCAAGCACGTACTATTATAAACTCAGTTACAACGATATATATAATGTGTGTGTGTTTTATACAACGATGGTGGCAAACAAGCATACGGCCCATCTGATGGCAAATGGTTACCGTAGCCTATGAACGCCTGAGATACTAGTGATATCACGTGCGCGTGTCGACCCTTATGAAACCTCAAAATACCCTTATTGAAAAACATGGGGGTTTTTCAAGAAGGGTATATTAAGATTTCTTAAGAGTCTGTCTCGTGAGAAAACCTTGGCAGGAAGTTCATTACACAATCTAAGTGAACGCAGGAGGAAACTCCTCTGAATCCTTATTAAAAAGCGTCATGGCTTAGTGGTTTAATAGCCCGACTTACACCCAAAAGGTAGAGAAATCAAATCTGACTGACCGAAAAAAAAAATGCTGATAAAGTTTAACTTTAATTTGTCATTATTGCAATTTAACTCAATTTATTTATTATTAAGCGTAAGATTTCGCGCGCTTGTTATAGATATTAAAATTAATAATTAGAAATGTGAAATCCACTGCAAGGATAATAATTTTAAAGTCTAATTCCAAAATCGTGTCTCTTTTTAGTTGATGTACGAGTATATTAAGTTTGGAATATGTAAACCTATAAGAGACTTTGATCTCATAACTGCGTCTTTAACTGATATAAATTTCACATTTTGCTGTAAATTGAAACGGATATTTTGTGTTTGTTTTAACATATCATCACAATTTAAATTTATTACATATAGTTAACCTTTTATCAATGACGATTTCAATAAGTTAAGTCGAACAAAAGATATTATTATAAATGTTATTGATAAATATTATATGTATGATAACACAATAAAATGGACAAATATAATTGCTTTTACACTTGTATACTTTTCTTGATATTACGTATAAATATAACGGCGTAGTGATCAACAGGCAGATTTTAATATTATTTTTAAAATTCATAAGTGGCAATATTAACTAAATTATTACTAAAATTGTAAAATTGTACTGCCTACGCTCACATAATAGTTTATTCCTTTTTTTTTCATTTTTATGTTATGTATTCAATTCATTATAAAAATGTATTCAACTGAAGGACTTGTATCCATGGTCATGAATAAAGCATTATTAAAAAATCAACTGCAAAACCGGAAAAAAAAAAGTAATTTTTAATGACTATCGCGTCTTTGTAATTGATATTTCTTCTTAAATTGTTTTTATTTTCTTAAAGCTGCAGTGTTTATTATTATCAAAATTAATAGAAACAGGGGAAAGAGATTATAAATGGTAATAGAATAAATAGTAGGGTAATTGCTAGCAATGGTCCTACTATATACAAACGCTAAATAAAGTGAAGATTTGTTGACCATAAGAGCATTTCACTGTAGTTATTTATTTATTATTTATTGCACTATCTTATTAATATTATAAACGCGAAAGTTTGTGAGTATGGAGAGATGTTTGTTACTCTTTCAAGCAAAAACTACTGAATGGATTTTGATGAAACTTTACAGTAATATAGCTTATACATCAGAATAAATATAGGCTACAAATTTCAGATGAAACCGCGGGCACAGCTAATTTAAAATAAATGTACAACTGACGAACTTAATGCCATATGACATTTTCTATCATTCATTGGGTAAAAACAGAAAATGGTTGAAGGGCAGTAATGGAAAAACGCATACTTTTCATATTATATACTAATATGCTTACATAATAATACTATATACGTAGATAAATAATTAAATACATAGTGGAGATCTATATATATTTTAGTTATTTTGTTTTTTTCTATTTAGCTTATTTATTAGCTTATGCTCTTCAGTCGGCCGTGTGGTCACTTATGACCTGTGCAGAATATGAACGGTATGGCAGTAAGCTATCTCAGCATATGCTGAGTGTGAGCCATATAGCTTAAATGTATAATTTTATTGTTACGTGATTTTTTATATTGTTATGTTAATAATTGACAATAAATTTCTTTCCTCTCTTCTTCATTCTTTCTCTATTACGCCGCGGTGAATTTGTCAAGAAAGGTGTGTTAACCTTTGATAAGATGATCATGAAGTCAGAGCAGTTACGCTCTGATTTCATGATCATCTTTTCATCCTTCACTGGTGCGCCGCCAGCGTATACCGTTAGCGCAGGCAGGTATAACATTTCATTACCATCCAAAAAACTGGTATCCCGATATAGTATGCATTTATTGAAAGTGGATACGTTATTACTCATTAGTAAGTAAATTGTAGTTAGAAGGTATCTTAGAATTTATAATCTTTTATCAGAAGTTGTTGTAGTAGATTTATCAGGTCATCGAAGACCAATAAATAATACAAATATAGTAATAAATATGTTTTTCGATTTGAAGTGTAGTAATTATATGCATTAATAGAGGTTAAATACGTCGACCTATGAACCATAAAGGTCGTGAGTTCGAGTCCAAGCGACATCATTTTGTGATAACTGACATTTATGCCAACATTACCTATTAGTGTAGTGTCATTACAAGGTTTATGTTGCAAACTTACTTACTTAATTAACTTTACATTTGTATCATTAAAACAATATGAATTTGTACGTAAAATTGAGAAAATCAGGGGTTCTCACCACTTTTTATATTTCATTATTACTAGCTGTGCCCGCAGCTTCGTCTGCGTGTATTAGTGACCTTGCATAGCATTTATAAAGAATTGTTTTACAAAAATGATATGCATGACATCGTTCTAGCTTCAAAAATGACCATTTTCAATTCAAAATTATATCCCTTATTTTATCCCCTTAAGGGTAAAATTTTTACAAAGTTTATGTGTCATATTTTTTTACATTTTATCAACAGCCAATAGCTAGTGCATTTGACTGAATCGGTTGCCAAACAGTATACTATACATATCTCCTTACTTCAAATGTTCGCGGTTCGATTCCTCGCACTGTACATTTATATTCATGATTGTGATTTTTATGCAGTATAATATTTTGCATTACTGTATTTTTATGCATAATATATATGTATTTAAAAAAACAATGTGTCTAAATATTTCTATTAGTTGTCTAGTTGTACCAATACCTATGATATTTTGCATATCTGTTGTATGTCATTTTTTATGCATATTATGTATCTATTTACAAAAAAAATATGTATTTATTTCAGTTGTCTAGTACCCATAACATAAATTATGCTTAAATTAAATGCACAAGAATTTATCACGGTAGCTTCCAGGGGGAATATCAACCTGACATGGTACATTGCTAGCAATAAGATTATCAGTCCACATTACTAACAATCCCCATTCCCCCATAGCTTGGGACTAGATGGCGCTGTGCGAATTATCCTGAGATATTATTATTATTATAATTTCTTACCCAAGTACAAGGCCAAACAATGGCTGAGAAGAGTGTATTCCTGAAACCTCTAAGGTATTTGGGCAGCTTATAGTCTTTGTTACTGGTGTTCCACAGTACCAGTGTGTCGCATATTAGTCCACTAAATGCACATACAATTTGCAGGAACTGTAATGGAAATAAATGAACGAGGTTATAATTGAATTACAAAATCATTTATTCATTTAGTCATTTTGTCATATGTGTCAAATTTTTATTATGCATCTGACTAAATATTATAAACAGGAAAGTTTATGAGTATGGATGTATGTTTGTTACTCTTTCACGTAAAAGGACTGAACGGATTTTGATTAAACTTTACAGTAATACAGCGTATACATTATAACAACACATCTTATTAATATTATAAACGCGAAAGTTTGTGAAGATCGATGGATGTTTGTTAATCTTCCACGAAAAAAGTACTGAACGGATTTGGATGAAAGTGTACAGTAATATAGAATATATATAAGAATAACACATAGGCTATAAATTTCATGCGAGTGAAACCGCGGGCACAGCTAGGACTTATCTCTAAAAGAGATCTCCTCCAGTCAACTTAAAACAGAGTAGCACAGAAAGTAGTGTGTGGGTCTCAAAAGTGCAATTAATAAATGTACGAAAAGACAAAACTAATATATACATAAGTAAATAAAACTAAAACTAATTATTTAATGTCCAAAATAGTATATAATAATAATGACTTACGAATATCGAAATAATCATCATCACCTGCTTCTTCCTTATCCCATTCATTTGGTGTCGGCGTAATATGTTTTTCTATTCTTCCCTGTTCGCAGTCATCTCGTTATTTACTCTCCCTTTCTTACCATGTCATCTTTCACACGGTCCATCCATCTCTTTTTCGGCATTCCTCTGCCCTTATAACATTCCACATTCATATGTAGTACTTTCTTTAAAATATTATCTTTATTCCTACGCATTACATTATATTTTTTGTAAATACATACATAATATATACACAAAACACTCAGACCGAAACAATCATACTCATCCATCCATCTCATACTCATCCATCTCTTACAAATGTTTATACCATGCTAGGAATCAAACCTGCGACAATCTGCAGTAAAGCTCGGTGGTTTAACACATTAAACCGCTAGACCACCGAGGCCGTCAAAATGAATGATAATCACTTACGAATGTCCAGCAGGTGAAGAACCTGGCTTGCAGTTCAGCATAGGCCGCTATCCTCGGGTCCACTACAATATGCTTCGGCTTCGGTTGTGACATCACCACAATATTTCCAACATGAAGTGTTATGGTCACCACATACCCTAACATCCTTAAGTAGATATGGGAAGACATGCTGGAAAAGAAGAATTTAATGTATTAATAAATAAAAAAATTAAATTAAAAGTAAATTGAGTTACTCTTTATAACATTATCTATCTGCGAGCGAAAGCCCGTTAAAATCGGCCCAGCCGTTCAGAGATTAGGAAGAACAAACAGGTAGACAGATATTTTTTTAAATTATTTTGTTATATAAGTACCGTATATGCATTTAATGAAGATCTGTTAATTTAAAATTAAAACTGTCAACACAATATTATTTAATTTTACAGATAAAAAAAAATGCAAAAAACCGAGTGCAGATGGCACTCCGAACCAGCAGAAGGAGGCGGCTGAAGGCCAACCTCTGCCTGACTGATATGACTTTAGTCTGTGGGCACCGCTAGAGGTTCGATCCCCGTTTGAATTGGACGGAGGAGTGAATGGAGGGGTCAGTTGGACATTCAAAATAAGTATGATAAGGTTATTTTATTTAGAGTTCTAGAGACAGGTTATTATAACTGAAAACATCTTAACAGAGCGAATTACATTTTCCTATAGCGCTATCTAGTTTCCATGAAAAGATATAATAAGATTATAATAAAATATCTATTTAAATGATTTCGTTTGAAAACATTTTCCAAACTTTACACTTTGTACCTCAGAGCGTCAACCTGTAATTTTTTTACTATAATCCAACGTGCCATGTTGTGGCGTAGAGTCATGACATTGAGGTGACGTACAAACAAACAAATATTATAGAATTGTATAAATTAAAAATTAATATTTGATTTGGTTAGACATAATTTTTATGGTACAGGTAAAAAATAGAAGGTTTTAGACAGGTTTTATAAATTCTGATAGAATTCTTATTGATACAACCCATAGGGATGAAATTTGAATCTCTGAATCTATTAAACAAAATTAAAATAGACTTATTAATTAAAATTATAAATGCCTGTCTGTCTGTCTGTCTGTCACGCGGAACTACTGGTCCGATTCAAATAAATTTTATATACACAGATACACTAGATCCTGATAAAGGACACAGCCTACTTTTAAAGCGAAAAAAGGTTGTAAGGGGTTGAAAAAGGAGATGAAAGGTTGTATGGAAATATCGTCATTTTAGTGCTTGTAACTTATATTTTTAGGCTGCTTGTTAAATATAAAAAAAATAGTAGATGCTGAGGGGTTAAATAAAATGGGGGATGACAGTTGGCACACTAAATTCGTCATCTATCGCACGCAGATGTAATCTCCCAGCTAGTCTTTAATAATAATAATAGTAATAAGAGCCTTAGTATAGGCACTCCTCGGTGTAAATACCACCTTAGCTTTGATATGTAGAAATAATAATAAAAACTAATGGTTACCCAATGGTCGAAATTCGAAAAAAAGATAATTAAGTTAATTTTTTTTTCACATTCAGTAAGACTACAAAATAATATTAAATACAAACAAAAATAATCTATGTGTGTGTAATGTTTTTCTTTATTAATTTAATGTATTTACGGTCTATAAGGATTATTTGGGGTCTCCACAAACGCGTATCAGCCAGACCAGACTTTATAAAAGAAAAAAATAAGATTTCCGATAATCATAATTACCACGCGAAATAAAGATAACATACAATTGCCAAAAACAAAACTTGATTAAACTTTTAAACGAGACATTACTTTAAAAATAAAAATCTATAATAAACTACCGGTTACTATCAGACAATTAACTCCAGAAGAATTAAAATTTAAAATAAAATAATATTTTGGAAAACATCCTTTTTATAATGATGTCAGAATGTAATTATCTCGTAATTATGATTTTTAAACATATTATATTATTATGACGTAATGTAATTGCAAATCTTTTCTCTTCTACTGCGATGACGTCTACATAGCCTACCTAATAATCGATTAAATAATTTTACAAAATAAATTAATTATTAACTTAAGTACATGCATATTTTTAATATATACGCAATAAGTATTTGCGGGAAATTAATAAATTTAAAAATTATACTTTATATTAATACGTGAAACAAAAACTTTATACACTTTTTTACAAAAATTTAAAGAAATATAGTTAATATTTTTTTACACGTTTAAACAAAATATTATCTCCACTCCTTGTTTATATAAACTATAAGTATGCTAAATATCATACTCCTTCATCCGCACAATTTTCGTAAAAATGAGTACAAAGGTTTTTCTAGTATTAATATGTAAATTAACATAATTCTTACAAATAATATAACTTACATGTTATACTATCAAGTCACTGACATGTATAAATAATTATTTATTTATTTAACACAACACTGTTGTACACTGAGACGGCACTATACTATGTGGCAGACTACCGTTATCATTCTGAATGCGTATCAACGTAATGCACAGATAGTGATGTACGCATCATATAACGGTAGATTTAAATTCGTCAACCGAATCGATATCGATTTTGAATATCGATACTATTATAAAAAATTGTAGGAAACCTATTGAAAAATTTCACATTTAGAAAAAAATTAAATACGTTTATTTTATACACATAACAATAACAAAGATAATTTGTGCTCAGCATATGCCGTGACGAAGTGCCAAGACGTTGGTATTCTGCGGATACCTTCATACATATAATAATAATAATATACATACATAAACATATTTAAATTAAGTAATGCCCCATTCGGAGGATATTTATACCAATTTTCTTCAGCCTTCTTTTTTATTTCTGTAGGGCCATAATATCAACACTTAAATCTGAAAATAAAAAGAAAGGTTTTATGAAGTTAATAATACGGAAATGAATGAAGAAATTGGAGATCATAATAAAAAAAAATAAAAAGTACAAGTTGAGAAGAAAAAAGAGAACGTGAAAAGTCACATTCTCTTTTATTATGTTATAATGGAGAAGAAAAAACACTATTAATAATTTCTATTATATTATATATTTATAGAAACAAGAGATAAGCACATAACTAGTGCGGTGTCGTAAAAACTTAAAGGAAAGGGAAATAATAAAAAAGAAATTCAATTAGAGAAGTACTTTTCTTTATTTTTGAAATTTTCATGCTCTTTAAACAGTACCTAACACATAAACACAAACAGATAATCTTCGTTACAATTTTTTATGTTATATATGTTTCATATGTAATAAATGTGTTATATATAAAAATATATATAAACAGATAATGAGGTATGTGGTCCAGTAACTTACTTTGCAAGGAACATGTAAAGCAAGTTTTGTTGTTAATTAGTTGCTCTGGTTGATAGTTACATATGACAGGGGCAGGGCAATTACTACGTTCAGAGTTAAGGTCACATTATGTAAACGGGATATTTACAGTCATAACATTTATTATTTTAGAGCTCCTTATATAATTTTCAATCACATTGTGGAATCACTATCCAGCAATTTCAGAACTGATACGATGGAACCTTCAAGAAAAGACCTTCTTAAAAAGCCGGCAATGCACTCGCAATTCTCCTGGTATTGCGGGTGCTTACGAACGGCGGTAATCACGTACCATCAGGTGAGCCGCAAGGTCGTTTGTGCCCTGTGCTATAAAAAAATATATCGATAAACGTCCTGGTCACGGATCGACTGCAGATGGCAGTGTATCTAAACATCAGAAACTCTTAAATGATATCAAGGTAAAAATATCGTTTACATTTACATATGGTGTGTATATGACACTTAGCACCCGCGGAAGGACTTATGGAGCGGCTGAAGGCAAACTCCCGCCTGACGGATACGACTTTAGTCTGAGGGCACCGTTAGGGGTTCTACATACCCTCAACATAGGCTGTCCTAATTTGAATCTCGTTTGAATTGGACAGGGAATCGGTCGGAGGGACGACCGGGAGCGTCCGGAAATGAGAAGGTGCCCGGTTGTTTGCGCTAGATGGTGTGGTTGGGGTTGTCGTATTCGCCGGTGAGGACGGTGTCGTGTATTTATGTCATAATGTAGTAGAGATAAAAGGGGTGAACCTATAGAGAACTTAACTGCCATTATAGGGTCATAGGGATCAAGAACATGCCTCAGGGATTGTCGGGCATTGTCGGGTAAGAATATGTCTCCTCGATGCATAATCCAGAAATATTGTCATATTAATAGATGCTATGTTTCAGTATTTTCTATAGTAATATGATTACTAAGGAGGATATTCTTTTTAAAAAAAGAGACAATATTACTCAGAAATAACCCAATACATAGCAATTAGAATACACGCATGTATTATTGTCACGCTTATTAGACAAGTATAATTTTAATATACAAGGCCATACAAAACTAGCTGTTTTCCGCGGCTTTGGAAGTATACCGATTCATATCACACAAGTCACAGTAGTAGTCTGGTTTACAGTTGTCTAGTATCCATAACACAAGCTCTGCTTAGCTTGGCAGTAGATGGCGTTGCGAGAAATGTCCAGGCTTATATTATATATGTTCTTAATACCAATTTTCTGATATACTCGTTATATTATTGTATCAACTTCTATATATTAATCTCTCTCTCTCTCTCTTTCTTATCATAACGCCAACATTCTTACATTTATTTTGTATACAAAACATTGTAATAAAATTTCTCAATAAAATATATGTCTATTACACTATCACTTTCAAGCTTATGTTGTTTTGTAATAACAGATCAAGTACCTAGCATTTTTATTTTCGATACAAACTACATATATAAAATCGGCTTACACTGCAATATGTGCGTGGAACTATAAAACAGACAAGTAGCGCCATCTTGTCGTCATTTGGAGTACGTATATAAGTAGAGAAGGAAAAGAATAGAATAGAAAATCATTTATTCAAATAAACTTAATTTAAGCACTTTTGAATAGTCATAACAATTTGTTTTTTATCTCCCACTCGTTCGGAAAGCTGTCTCATCACAAGAAGAACGATTGAAGATAATAGTGTTGACCATTTAAATAATCCTTGTAAGTTTACATTTACAAGTCGAAACGTGTGAATACAAACTACCAACAAGCACTAATTAGAAAAGACCACAAAAAAGAAAATATTTTTATTAATGGATAATGGAATTGTTATAATTGACCTATATGAACATATATATATATATTAATATATATACATTTGTATATGATTTAATACCTTGACCATGATACCCAGGGCAATTCGCACAGCGCCATCTAGTCCCAAATTAAGCTTTTCTATCCACAACTGAAACAAATTAAGCGAAGTCTTCTCTAGTAGTTTTCCTCCACCTCACCTAAATCGAGGTCCGAATCTCTAGCGGTGCCTTCAGATTTAAATCTTATTCGTTAGGCAAAAGTTAGCCTTCAGCCACTCTATAGTCTTTGTCCTTGTGCTTACCACCAAGTAATTTGTTATTTTTTTCTTGTGAAATAAGTGAGACCTAGGTTCTCACATGGAATACTTTCTACAATGGCAAACAAAAAAATATACCCACAATTTCATAGTTTCTTTGTATTTACGAACCCTAAAACATGTATAAGTAGATATTCATGTACATGAAGATGTAAATCATGATACACGTAAAAAAACAGCGTTTATTTTTCATTCCGTTTCAATGTACAGTGAACGTTAGTTGGTGACCTTATATACGAAATTTTGCCTGAATTACGCACGTACGAGGTATTTTAATATTTTTATTACTACAAATATACTATCACGCCTACAAAACCAGATAGAGTGGTCAGAGACATTGTTAACTGTCTCAGTTATTGACAATCTCATTTTTTTTCTCCCAAATTTGAATTTAAATGAATCTGTATTATTGTAAACATGTACAACATTTATTTAAAAAGAATACGAGCTGAGTTTCTTGTCAGTTCTTCTCATCTCGAAATCATTCCGAACTGACGGTAGATTTGAAATATCATACATAGAGTATACCTCTCTTTTCTCTTTTACTCCAATGATGTCTGCATAGCCTACTGTTTAACCCTAATGAATGATACGGAAGGCAGTTCATGTAGAATAAAGTTCTAAGGTAATATTGATAAAATACAGTGAAATTGAAAACTTCCTCCTTTTTAGCCCCCTCCGATCGATACCATTCAAACGGGGACTGATATTACGACGGCCTAAGCCGAGGATCAAACTACTAGCGGTGCCCTCTAACTAAAGTCGTATCCGTCAGGCAGGAGTTGCCCATCAGCCACTCCAAAGTTCTTCGCGAGTTTGGAGTGCCATCTGCACTCACCTCATCGTTCGGTGAAGCTTTAGCATTAGAATAATTAAAAAAAAAACCTTTTTTAGAAGTTGTATGTTAGTTCTACCATTATAATTTTTGCAATATTAAATTATTCTAAACGATTCTAACCTTGGAAATTCAAGATTTTAAGCGTTGTCTTGGTTGTAAAAAAATTACGTTTACCTATAATTTGGCGAAAACATTTAATTAACTGACTATATTTACGTGATGACGAGACAGGCTGAGGGTTCATACACCAATAATACTAATAATTTTTATTTAGCTGTAATTCAAATTCAAAAATCATTTATTCATGTAGGACATTTTAGCCGCTTATGAACGTCAAATTTTTACATTATAATTTTATTTTTTTCCCTACCGTCCAGTTCGGTATATAGATCCAATTGAGAAGAACTGGCAAGAAACTCAATTGAATTACTTTTTTTTTTTAAAGCCAGTTTATTTACAATGTATATTTATATAGGTAATAGTATTTTTATTTAATTTAATTAATTAATATGATACGGTGACTCTGCTTGAGCTAATGGGGCACCAGGATTTTTTAAGGATGATAATGGGATGGTGCACCCACCTGCGCTAACAGTATACTGTATACAGTATACAGTATACAGAAGGGGATTGTTAGTAATGTGGTTGACCTCCACGCGGTTCCCCCTGGAAACCATCGTGACAAATTCACTAAGAATATAACTGGCTAACTGACTTGACCTGATGCTCATCTTATCATCCTCCACTGGTGCCCCGCCAGCGTAAACCGTTAGCGCAGGCGGGTGCACTATTCCATTATCATCCATAAAAAAAAAACTATGGCTAACGTGCTGGCGAGGCATCAGTGGAGGATGATAAAATGAGTATGAGGTCAGGTCAGGTAGTCTATCGTGGCAAATTCATCAGGTTTTTAACATAATGGTTTCAAGGAGGTAAACCTAACATGGTACATTGGTTGCAATGAGATTATTAATCTACATTACTAACAATCCTGAGCATGAAGACAGGTGAATTAGGCTATCGCAGTTGGCGATAGAATACTATATATTGACGACTTCAATAGTCTAACAATTTAGCACACCGCTTTGCGTCCGATGGATGCGGGTTCGATTCCTCTCAAGGTGCAAAAATTTATATTCATGAGTATGATTATATGTATCGGTTTGGGTATTTTCTACGTATATTATGTATGTATTTACAAAACAAAGTTTTCTAAGTATTTGTATCAGTTGTCTAGTACTTATAACACTAGTTCTCCTTAGCTTAGGTCTAGATGGCGCCGTGTTAATTGTCCAGAGTTATTACTATTAACACATACATATATAACATACATAGAAATTACCCAAACCGTTACAAACAACCATACTCATGAATACAAATGTTTGTACCGTACGTACAAATCGAACCCGCGACAGTTGGAAGGACAGCGGTGTGCTACACCACTAGACCAGCGAGGCCGTCATCATTATTATTATTTAGACACCAAATCGTGTTACTTACTTTACCTATTATTTTCTAGTACAATGGACAAATTCATATATTACCGTCTAATTGGATATCTGGTGACGCTGTGTACCCATCTCACGAACCTGGCCGTGGTGACGTCACGGCTCCAACAAAAACTACCCTCAAATCCGGAACTCACCATATTCCTGAACCTGCAGTATAGATACCTCACGATATGGACAACGGTATGTAACATATTAGTTTTTTTATTCATGTAAATGGAGTGACAATGTGGGACATAGTGTGACAAAGAGTTGAGAAGGCACCTTTTTTTAAGAGGAGAAATGTTCAAGATTCAATAAATATATTTTACTCATATAGGTCTCTCACAGACTCATATGATATGTCCAATCTACCATCAGTGCGGAATGAATTCGAGATGAGAAGAACTGATAAGAATCTCAGCTCGTATTATTTTCAATAAATGTACATGTTTACAATAATACAGATTATTTTTTTAATTCAAATTTGGGAGAAGAGAACCGTTCAATACAGAACTTTGATGTAGGGGTGCTGGCGGATACTGTGGGGCTCTTACCCACCAAAACCCCCCGATGTTCCCACCTTTTAACCCCTCCGATCGATCCCCCGCCCAATTCAAACGGAGATCGAAATTATGACGTCCTGAGCCGAGGTTCGAATCCCTAGCGGTGCCTAGTTGAAATGTGTGAATACAGACTACCAACTAACTTTACACTGCGAGGTAAATTTTGTAATATCAATTTTACTCACAACAGTTATGTTACGAACCCGGCTTCGCTCAGGTGCGCTATGTAACTTTGTGAGTTCTGTATATATTAACATAATATACAATAAGACCGCCTTTTCGCCTATATTATTTCTATTTATATATTAATCTTAATAATATTATAAACGAGAAAGTTTGTGAATATGGCTGTTTGATACTCTTTCACGCAAAAACTACTAAACGGATTTTGATGAAAGTTTGCAGTAATATAGATAACATATAGGCTATATTTTTTATTCAAATTTAACACGGGTGAAACCGCGGTCACAACTAGTTCTTTATAATTTACTTCTGGTGCAATAAAGAGTTAATAAGAAATTCGTTCAACAGGTCTTTCAGGTGATTTACGCCATTATGGGACTAGTTTGTGATACCCTCATTATAATTGGGAAGAAATCGCCTACGATCACAACTATTAGAGATGCTAGCTACAAATATTTCTCAGCAATTGTGTTACCATTCGCTGTGGTAAGAAAATTTTTTCTATGTAACTGGAATGGTAAATAAGGTCACGGTCCACCTTTTGATAAATAAAAATAGAAATATTTTTTATTGAAATAAACTAAATATAAGCACTTTGGATAGTCATATTTTTATATTCTACCACTCAATCGGAACGCAGACTCATCACAAGACGAATGACCAAGAAACTTACGTGTTGCTCTTTTAAATATATGTCGTTCTCAGTGAATACACATTAACAAGGATTAGGCATGCCATAAGATAAATAGAATATACATTATTTGTAACATACATGTATGAAAATGCATAAACAATATATTAAAGAACACATGTATAGTTACAATAAGGCAGCCTTATTGCTGAAACCGTTATTACAAGGCAACCTTGGGGAAACGGATTTAAATGTCCATAATCTACATAGAAACTGCTACGCAGCTATACATTTTAGCATTATTATAATAAACCAAAGCAAGAGACGTAGAAAGGCACTCTATATTATATCTTCATAATTCTTGGGCAATCTATCCATTGTGAATGTCAGAGATGTGTCATCATTATTGTTATTATATTTTATTTTTATATTATACTAGCTGTCCCGGCAAACGTTGTTTTGCCATATAAATTAATAACGCTATAAAAAAAATAGGGGTTGATGATAGAAGGGTGAAAATTTAGGATTGTATGTATTTTTGTATGTTGTATCATAAAAAAATAGAAACTAAAATTTTTGTCTAAAAAATACTACTGGGGTGGACTACCCCTAACATTTAGGGGGATGAAAAATAGATGTTGGCCGATTCTCAGACCTACTCAATACGCTCACAAAATTTCATGAGAATCGGTCAAGCCGTTTCGCAGGAGTATGGGAACGAAAACTGTGACACGAGAATTTTATATATAAGATTTGTTTAATTCACAAATAATAAATGATGATTTTAGTAAGACTGTGGTACGTTTTTAATGTCATTATAGCTGTTGTGTAATGTTCCGTTGCGTTGCCTGCAAAGTTCATATTAAAAAAGTAAAAATTATGGCGCCAAAATGCTGACACATATTGTGTTATTGTATATATATATATACTAATATCATAAACACGAATGTTTGTGTGTATAGATAGATGGATGTTTGTTAATCTTTCACGCAATGTTGTGTATAAACTGTATGACTTTACAGTAATATAAATTTCACGCGCGTGAATCATCGGGCACAGCTAGTTCAAATTCAAATTCAAATTCAAAATATCTTTATTCATGTAGGTCTATTACAGACTCTTATGATATGTCAAATCTACCGTCAGTTCGGAATGATATCGAGATGAGAAGAACTGACAAGAAACTCAGCTCGTAATTTTTTGTCAAATAATAGTGGAACATGTATATGATAAATACAGTTATTATAATTCAAATTTGGGAGAATAGAGTGACCACCAGCAAATGCTAGTATATATGTAATAACACATGTAACTTTTATTTCAGCTCGTGTTTACACTCTTCTGGCCTATATATTTCTATGACAAGCCACTGGTATTTCCACCCAAAAGCAACATGGTAATATGCCCTACATCCAACATTGTGTTCCATGCATTTATACTACCCGTTGTTGTATGGGAGTTGGTGTTTCAGCCGAAGAAAATTTATGTATCACACACACACAGCTGTGTTTACATATTACTTATGTATGTGATATATAATACTTCGTAAGTATATTTGTATTATTCATATTTAGAAATAGTACTTTTTAACTTTCGTGTTTAATATATATTATTTATATTTTAAACCGGGTCTTAACACGAATCATTTTATAGCAAATAAAGATTTTACCTCTCTCGACTTTTCGACTAGGTTGCACTAGCCATGGTCACGAGCTGACTGGAGTAAGAGTAATGTCGAGAGAGGTAAATACCTTTATTTGCCATAAAATTATTCGTGTTAAGACCCGATTAATAATATAAATAATATTTAGAAATAGTTTGACGGCTCGTGGTCTAGCCGTTTAGCAGATCGATGGTCGCAGGTTCTTTTCCTCGCACGCAATTTTATTTCATTACGAAGATATCAATATTTCTTTTCACAAATAAACACATTTAAAATATATATAGACATGGTAATGGTGAAATATTTGTTTCTTTAAACGATAATTAGGTGCGAACTTTTGTATTTATGAGTACGATTGTTTGTATCGGTCTGTGTGTTTTATTATATATGTATTTACAAACGAAATGTATGTTATATGTCTATGTATTTGTATCAGTTGTCTAGTACCCATAACGCAAGTTCCGATTACTATTACTAGATGGCGCTGTGTAAATTGTCCAAGGTTATTATTATTATTTGACTTTTCACCTACTATATATTGATATTGAATTCATTTCAGGTTGTTTTACACTCGCTATGGAGATTATGGGGTCTGGCCGTACCTTATACTCAAAGTTCTGGAAGGTACCATATTTTTTCCCTTATTCTTCATTTTCATATTATTCGTACTCTATACGAGTTACTTCACTCAATCTCATCTCAAATCTAAAGTTTGGGAGTACAGAGAGAAGATTTATATAAAGGAACACTAATAGTCATATAATTTAATGTCACCATACTCGGAACGCCTCTTACTACCAGATTATTATTTAAATAGTTGTATAGTTTCTAATTATAAGTTATATAGAAAATGTACATAACATTACTCGAATGAAAATCGATTTAAAATACCAAAATATAATAAATAATATAAATTAATTAAATACAGTAAATTTATTGAGGATATTGTTTTATTTTCCCATAATATAAGATTTATTAAAATAGGATATATATATAATTTTTAAGTTTTATGTTTTTTTTCCCCTAATATAGGATTAATAAATAGCATTTTTTTGTATATAGGATATATATTGATCAATTTGAAAGTGGGATATGCCAAGACTATCTACAGTCTAGGCATATCCTGTCTTTAGGATATCCTATACCAAGGTTAAATGACCACTTCGTTAGCTGTCTGAAGAAAATATGGGATGAAATAGATAAGAACAATACTGGTTGACTGTAAAAACTTGGCAGCGTGAATACCTCCTCACCTATTCCAACCACCAACCAGCTTGTATTATAAACTGTCTAGTTTGTGGGGTGCAGATTTGATAATTAAATTACAGAATAAAAGACATGACATCTTAGTCCTCTGGAATGCCTAAAACCCTTGCGTTGGCAACGCATGAGTGGTATCGCGACGTGTGAGGGTCTATTATATTTGTATATTTATTGCCACATTCACATTCCTCCCTCTAATACTTACTCCGATATGTCCCTCGATTGTAGGGTTGTGTATATGTAATTTTTAAGGTTATTTTAAAAATAAAACACGCCCTCTTGCAAGTGATTCGAGAATAATAAAACAATAACATTTATTAGCTATTGGATATAAACCAACACCACCTCCAATCTACTTTAGGTACAATGTTTTGTATTGAGTTCATAAATCAACAAAGCTTACATACAGGTTGATAGAAAACCGACTATATTTATCAGGTTACTACATATAAAAAAAATCAAGATATTAAATATAACGTTCATATATTTACTAGTGTACCAATTTTCCATCAACATGTACATACAAAATATGTATTTATATATTCGACTTTCTTTACATAGATATATTTGTTACTCTTCTCAATATGTCTCAGGTAATGGTGTAAAAATATTAATATTTCGTCAACAAAGCAATACTTTCATTATATACTTAAATCATCTTATAGAAAACAAGGTACATTTTTTACTATTATTAATGATTGTGACACCGTTAGGCACCTTTGTACAAAATAGAAAGCTCTTCACAAACGATATCGTTAAATGAAATCCCTAATAGAACCAATATAAATGGACCTATATATAAAACACACTAACACTCAAACAATTTACCGATTATTCCCGTGAAATTTCACGCTTGCGTTTTCGAAAATACTTTATAATCTAACCATTATGTGTCCAAATCTATATAATTAGTTTTAGTGGAAATTTAGCAAAACATAGTACAAAAGTTTTAGAAATACCTACTAAAACTACCCAGCAATTAAAATGTTTACCCTATATCTATCACTATCGCACTGACACCCTTCGTACGTGCGCGAAAGAGAGACGTTATGCATCTCGTTTCGTTTTCAAATTGTCTGCACCAATCAAAGTCTACGTTACATGAAATAGAGAATGGACACGGCCTGTAAGTGACAATAGGCTTCGTATATTCGAAATCCGTAAAGGATTTGTTTCTATATTTTTTCAAAGAAAAAACAATTTTTGAAAATAGATTTCTAGATATCGAACTCGTATCGAAACATAACTAGTCAATTTATGTCTGAACTCATTTATATTTCATTTATATATATTTTTGAAAATGGAATTGTAGTGTAATGGTATTATATTATATAATAATATGAAACATATTCATTTCTTCTGTTACATTTATTTATATAGTAAGTAGATTTATATAATCTTATATATATAAGTAATGTTTTGTACTTTACCTACTGTATAGCCATAAATTTATAAAATTAAACTTTTACGAACTTTTTAAATAAAAGAACACTAGTCGAAAGTATCTACCAAAATAATTTATTTATTAAACAAATATTTTATTTTGTTTTAAATTCCTTATTTCAGAATCTCTTGGAAGGAAACATATATCATATTGACAAATACTGTCTCTTTATATAAGTATAGAATGTTACCCTTTGTTTTGTACAATTTCTAATACTGTACAAAACGAATATAAAATATTAATAATTTCAAGGACAAGTGGAATTAATTTGAGGGAGTTGCATTATTAAGCAAAAATATTAAATTTTATATCTAAGAGTATAAGATCATAATGAGTTCAGACTTAATAACTAGTGCTGATAACGAGATACTATATTTTATTGTGTTATTAATGATTTTAGCCGAATTTTCAGTCTTAGTGCTCTAGAACGTTTATTTATCAAGTATAAAGTAAATATTTAATGGGAAATATCCAATCAATACAAATAAAAATATGTTCATGTATAGTACTAATAATATAATTCGGTATATAATATAATGTATAAACAAATAACTCTTTGTATAATGTATAATATAGTATATATGATCAACAGTGGTGTAGACGAAAAACTGATGACTGATAAATAATGTAATTCTTCGTATATCTTAAGGTACGTTTTAAATTAATTTTGTATTGAAAAAATTGGACAAATCCCATTATTAAGCTAAATAAATACTTCGCTAATTCGTCTAATGTGCGCCTATAATCTTATATTTAAAATAAAATGGTTTAAATGTCGCTCAGTGGAAAAGTTACATTCATTAAAATCACTTGAATATACGTTTTATATATTTTTTTTCATAACAATATCAATAAAACAATGGGACTATATATTTGTAGATATATATACTGTGTTTAAAAATAATATATTGAATCACCCGTATATTTTTATACTATTATGTATCTCACTATTTATGTATGATTATAACTATATTAAATATTCTTGTAAATAAAAAAATATGGTGCTCAAATAGAGGAAATAAAAAAATAATAATATATACGATAAGGAACGCATTAAAAATGAAAAAAAAATAAAACCAAAAAGAAATAGACAATAACAGATTGCTTTATTTAACAAAAAATATATAATATATAGAAAGACAAAAAACAACACTTTCACAAGATCGTTCAAGACGCGACATCCCGGCAGGTCATTGTGGAAAATTTGTTTTTCACTTTTTTTTTAATAGAATGTAAAATTAAAATTAACCCATTGAACCTTATAATGATATTTAATATAAAATACATATGATTAATAACTATTTACAAAATACGAGTTAAGATTTATACTTTTTTTTAATATTAATATAAACCAGTCTATAGTAAAAGGCTATTCGACAAAACTTAGCGTAATTGTTAGAAAAATTGATGGTTAATAATTCTAATAGACGTAGCAGGCAATTTTAATATAAAAAAAATTAAGAGGGATCTTCTAATAATCAAACATTCGTCCGTGATACGTACATAAAAGAGCGTAAAGCTTAAAAACTGTAAATAATATTATTTACGTATTATTAAAATATATATATATATTATTGTAAAAAATGTACTTCAATAATCAGTTATAGAATTATTATTATGCATTGTTGTGGCATAACATCTCGTGTATTATGCAATAAAATTGTGAATAAATTCCGAACATGGCACCAAAGCGAAGAACGTGCAAAAAAATGAGATCAAATTTATTCTAAGAAAAAATGTAAATTGCCTGCTAAAACAGTATACAAAATGAATTTGATCGGTACAAATTTGATTGTTTATATATCTTTTATTATTATAATAATAATAATATAATGTTCGACTGCAATTTTGTTCAATGCACCGTACAATAATACGTTATAATCCATCTTATTATTAGGTTATATTACGTTATTATATCTTCAAGTTTTTCATCGCTTTACTTGTTCAAGCCAACGAAAAATAAAATATATAATTAAATGGGCAGTATTGTGTATCCTATATTACAACTTATATTATCTATGTTGAAGAGAAAAAAACATCAATAATAATAATCATTTGAAATAAATAACAAATTACAATATTCTTTAAAAAAAAATTGTTAAAAAATAATTAAGGACTAATAATTACAGTTCTGTTTAGAAAAAAAAACTGTAGTGTGATCATTACGACTCTATATCGTTATAACTTCTTTATTCATTTCTTAATAAAAACTCTATTACTATTATTATTTTTATATATAATTCTTACTTTCTCATAAAAGTTACACATTTATGATAATTATATTACGATACGTCTCTATATACAAACACACAACAAAACATATATGCATTATTATGTATTTATATAAAGCTCACAAAATCAGGTTTCATATATTCCCATAATCTACATTTTGTTATGAAAAATAAAACCACAACAAAAAATATAATACCATCTGACATTACACGTGAACTGTGGACACCTAAAATGTTCCTAGATTCAAAATTAAATAAACATTTAAATATTAATATTGTACGTACGTACCTATACGTAAAATATCATTATAACAGTCTCAAAGTACATACATACAATTATAAATAGGTTAACAAATAACGTTTTAGGTGTCCACAGTTCAAAGGAATCAAATAAAAAATACATAGCTGTCAAGTCTTTAAACAAAGGTCGGCCTCACTGCTGCCCTCTCCAGATTTTGTAGGCAAAAATGAGATCGTACTAACCCCAACAAAGGATATAACCCATGGAATAATTTGGCGAAATTATCCGTGTGTATAATCTAGTACACTGTCTAAGGAGAACAGTTCTTTGTAGAGTGCTGGGAATACATGGTGTGGATGTGCCGCTTTGAAGCGGCATAACGCCTCCAAATGCATGAGCGAAAGTTCTCTGTAACAAAATATATGTAATTACATATAACTTCAGAATACTATAGACTCATATGTAAAATTAGAATTATTCACGGTCGGTAAAATATGTCTAATTTAAATGAAAATAAATGGTTTTCTATTTCATTAATCAGTTTTTATTTAATGATTAAGTATAAAACTTACCTGAAGGTGGGTATTTTCGCAAGCAGAGTGTCCAGCACTGTCACGTCGCCTTTGAGAGGCGCGTGGTTAGATTCAATCTCATGACGCATGGCCGCCATCGACATGTTGAATAGACACTGGATCTCGGGATTACCACGAACTCCATGCCGTTCTGTAAATTGATAATACATTCAAACTTATAATTTCAATATTCTATTATTTAGCATTTATAAATAAACATAAAACATTAATCTTCCTAAATTCAATAAAAATAAATAAATAAAATAATTATTAGTTACATAACATGATAGTTTAAATTAATTGGAATGATATTTATATCAAACAAACACTGTTATATACAAGGTTTTGTATGTTCATTTAAATAATCCGAGCTCGAGTGCTGGTATACAGAGACAGCGATAAATTATTTACTATCAAAGGACTATGTTTGTTTGCTATATTGAATACATATATTATATAAATATTTAAGAAACTCACCTGGCCACAACAACACAAGACTTTGATACAAAGCCAACTCAGTCTCAGTCAGTTTGAGTCGCGCAATTGTCTTCGCGGCGTCGAATATGCCGACCACAAGTGACATATCCCGGGGGTCGCTGGAAAAAGTAATCAATAAGAAATTAATGAAAAGTTATTACAGTTAAACGTAACATTATATCAGTTTACACTCTCACAACAACAATATTATATATGATAGTCAATTATTTAATCAATAATAAATTTATCGTAATTGCCAATCAGTCTTACAATTATAAATGCAAAAGTTTCTAAGTATCGATGGATAGGTGAATACATGAATGTTTGTTGTTTCTTTCACGCAAAAACTACTGAACGGATTTTGAGGAAACTTTAGAGCTTATACATCAAAATAATACATAGGGTATAAATTTCATGTGAGTGAAACACCGGACACAACTAGTATTAAATATGATAGTCAGTTATTTAAACAATAATATTGCTTAATTACATATTAAATCTACTTTTTTTACTGTATAAGCCTTATCATTGGCTTCTGTTAATTATATGTATAATTTTGTTTAATTGTACCACATTTTCTTGGTCATCAAAGTTATTGAAATTAAAAAAATACTAGTAATTTAGGAAAATATAATGAAATTATATAAACTAACCGTGCATGCACACACTCTCGTATCGGCAATACGACATCGCCGTATAGCACTTGTTCGCGGTTTACATCGATCAGCCGCGACAGACGTACTATTGCCAACTCGAATGAACCTGTGACGTAATAGAAATGTTAATTAGTTAAATATTTTTTCAACACACTTCCTCGTAAAGTGGATCTATCTGCACCGGTATATATAAAGCAGTTCATAAAACACGCGTGCGTTATAAACGAAAATAGTGAAGTTATATTCCACAACCGCACTATTTGCTATTTTTTTTTTTATCAAATTTCAAACGGACCACCTCGCGTCACCAATTAGTAGACAGCGCGCTGATTTAAAAAGTAAAATGGCGGGAAAGTAATGGTTTGCATCAATCACCGTTTTATAGTTAAGTTTATTTCAAATTAATGTGTTGTAAAAACATCGTACGATATACGTGCGTATTGAACACACTCGATTTTATTACAACCTCGCCTTTGGTTGGGACTAAAATTCCGCCTCGTTATAACCATAATAACGCATTTATATTATAATATACAAAACTTATACTTCTATTTGATTTCGATGTCAAATAGAAGTATTTGGCAGTCGCCAATTTTCAGAATTAACCCTAAGGAGTTATAAAAAAAATACGCATGATTGCACTTTAAGTAACTTTCTAAACATATTACCGTTAGGAATCACAGTTTAAAGCCCATTAAGTTTGTGCACGGCACTCCCTAGCTAATGTGTAGGGCACGCGGACATTAACTGTTATTTTCTCTGTACTGTAAATGTTTATAGTCAACAACTAGTACTTTTATTAAGCTACTTGTATTCTACTTCCAGTAATGTAATATAAACTTAACCTAATTAAAAACCGTTTGAATATAATAATATATTAAAGATAGTATCGTAAAAAAGTGTTTCAAGAGACAGAATTTCATATATAAATATATATATATATAAAACATATATAGGGATCCGGTAAAATATATATACTTCTGTATTTTAGCTGCTTTATTGAAAATAATACAAATACTCACCTGATTTGAGCAGCAGTATCTGGTCATCTTGGGTGAGTTTCATGAAGCCTGGTATCAGCTTCGCGAACTCTATAATATTTTGTATCATCCCTGTCAGCTTGTCCGCACAATCTAGCCACATCTCTTCATAAGTCATCGAGTTGTAAAATAAAAGTCTGTAACAGATTATAGTAATATATGTACTTTTATTTACATATATTTGTATAATATGTGCAAATGTCAGAAGCATTTGCACAGACAAATATTTGTGTGTCTAAATAAGTTATTGAACATTAAAATGTATGAAATTCTACAAATATTGTTTTTGTGTTCACCACACTCACTATGGCAATCTGCCACGGTAGCGACGGTGCACAACTCCCTTCGGCCAAGGAAGATTTCCTTCATGAAGTTAATAATAATGTTAGGACTTACTTAGAGACATCTGGTGGTTTTCTAAACATCTCGTGGACGTATTCCAGCTTCGGGTTGGTGTTTGCGTGCGCCTCTGCCAAACTCTTCACCAGTACTTTGCTGATGTCGCCTTCCGCTAAAAAAGTTAACCAAAATTTAAAAAAAGGAAAATAGTACAACTAATATAGAAACTAAGAGAGAATTACAATTAAAAATGAAATAAATATAACGAATATTAAAACTAGAATATTTTATCTAATATTAATAAATCTATTGATATAATAATATTATGATTAATTAAGAACATTATTATTCAAATTATTACTTGAATAATTTTATAAAGCAAATTATTCAAACTAATTTGAATGTATAACTCAAATTGTACAAGTTGCTTTATAGAATAAAAACATAAGAATTTGGTGAATATTTTTTTATTAAATATTCATTTATTGCGTGAAAACTATTTGTATTGCTTTTGGTTTTCAATATATGAATACATATTTCAAACATATTCACTTCCAACTTCGCAACACAGATAATACAAATGTTTTTATATCACGTCAAAATACAAAAAAAAATACAAAAACTTGTACGTGATCAATAAAATAAATTCAGTAAATATCAAATAAAATGCATCATAACAAGTAACAATACAATTTTATATTAAGCTATATAAGCAAAGGAAACAAAGACCATACACTCTTCATGATGTCAAGAACTTTTCGATTCTAATGTAAAAAATTATAGAAGAAAATATATTAAAAAAATTAAATTCCTTATCACATTTACAAAGAATACAAAAATAATACTACTACTACTTCATAATTTCGTATAAATTTATAATAAGACTATCAGTGCCGGTAAACGTTTTACCATAAAAATTAAAGTACCAACATCGCTATTAAACAGTATTTATAGGATAATATGTATATAATTTTAATATCAATTAAATATATATACTATCCTATAAATCATAACAAATACTACGATTCTTTTTATCATAAAAAAAAACTAGGGTGGACCACCGTTATCACTTAAGGATATATAAAATAGTTTACTTCCTATTCTCAGACCTACTGAATATACACAAAGAATTTCATTTGAACCGATTTAGCCGTTTCAGAGGAGTTGTGTAAAAAGCACTGAAACGAGAATATATATTACATAAATCTTTACCCATTTTTAAATGAAGTCGCTTCCTCTGTTCACTTCAGATCTTTTAAACTACACAACGGATTTTAATGCTGTTTTTAGCAATAGATAAGGTTTATTTGTGATTTAATTGACATATATTACTGTATATAAAAAGGAGAAAACATTAATAAATAGAAAAATGGTTTATATATAAAATCCCAATATTAACTGTATAATAGGTATGTGTACATACACCGTGCGAAGCCCGACGGGTAACTGATATTATATATATGCATATATATATTTAATATTATGTTTTACAGCTCTGGATACAAGGCCTTTTAGCCCAACTTTAACAAACTAACTCGAAGTTAAAAATTAAAGTCAATGTCCAACATATGTCAATTATCGTGTCAATGTTTACAATACAAAAAAACTATTTGCACAAGAAGATAAAATTAATGTAAAGTAACGTTGTGTCAAAATGACGTAGTTTACAAAATGAATTAATTGTAGATAAAATAAAATAAATAAAATATGGCGATGGAACCATTTACAGCTTTTCTATTTGGTGCTTGTTTGATAGCTTGCTGGCGTAAGTATTATCTTATCATTGAAGTCCACTGTTGGACATGGAATTCAAGGAACTGATGTACTATGGACAACAGCCCTAAAAATAGTCCTTTGAACGCTTCTCTATTGCCAGGCCAGCCTCATTATAATAATAATCTTACTCATATTATAAACGCGGAATTTTGAGTGTGGATGGATGGATGTTACAAGTATGTAAATATATATCAATAAATTTTACTTTATTTTTTTAGTAATAATACCCCTGGACATTTTCACAATGCCATCTAAGCACATAGTGGCCAGAGCTCGTGTTATGAGTACTAGACAACTGATATAAATACTTACATACATATATATTAGAAAACACCCAGACCGATTATATATTTGACTAATAGGACAAGACTTTATAGTTTCTAAAATCGTAAAGTTTCAACAAAATGCGTTCAATGGTTTTTAAATGAAAGAGTAACAAAGATCCATGTATCCATACTCATAAACCTTAACATTTATAACAGTAGTAAGATATTCTTCCTTTCCAGCGTGTTATTTGCCCTGCTGTCTAGCTCTACCACTAATACCGTTTCCTTTTCTAATTCTTCGTGAATCTAACAGATTGGAATGCAAGAGGAGCGGTTTTGTAACGGTAGGTTTACTGTTTTACCTACTGTTAATTTATTATAAAAATTTTGGTATAAAAAATTACTGATAATTCAAATTTATTAACATAACACCTATTGGCTCTTGTGCACCTCATATCTTTATCACTAACCTAACTGTCCAGTCAGGTTTAATTATATTTATTAAACCCAGGATAATTCACACAGCGCCATCTAGTCCCAAACTAAACAGAGCCTGTACTGTACTAGTCATAATAACTGATATAAAATCAACACAACGCTATCTAGTTCTCAACCTATTCAGAGCTTGTACTATGGGTACTAAGCAACTGATAGAAATACTTAAATAGGTAATTTTTTTTGGTAAATACATAATAAACATTCATACTCATGAATACAAAAGTTTGTATATAGAAATGAACTTGTGACCGTTGGAAGTTAGAGAGAGTGCGAAATCGCTAGACAACCAAACCCGTCAGTTAATATAAGTAATAATATTAAGTATAAAGCATAATAAAGTAATAATAATAATATTAAGTAACAATAAATAAGTAATAATGGTGTTTCATTTCAGGGTAAAAATCATCATCTATATTACTTAGTTTGGACTAACAGTGGAATAGTGTTAAAGACAAAAAGAAATGCCACTTAACCATATCGTGTGCACAAATAGCAAATATAATGATAAATATATGAAATGGCAATATTTTTTTTATTAATTACTGGCTGTATGTTATATAGAGAATTTTAGAGAGGCAAAAGTGGGGCATGATACTAAAAAGGTTGGGAAACACTGGGTTCGACAGTGGTACCTACGCAAATGAATACGATCTTAACATGTAGACTAGTCCTGGAAGTAGTAGTATTTTATATATGCGATAAAGTACAAGTAAAAAATAAGTTTAAGAATTACTTAGACTATTAAAATTCTTAAAGATACTAATTACTATTTAATATTAATCGAATATAACTGAAAAATAGCACTACGAATACTAATATTGTGAAACTTACATCCAAATCTATCTATCTATCTATCTACAACAACATAAACAACATAAAAATATAGAACCTGGCAAAATAATAGAAATAAACCTGAGCAAATAAAATTAATCTAACCAACTTAGCCAACCAATAGAAATTATGACACTGAGTTTATTGTACCTGTATGGAATAATATTAATAAATTTGTTATTTATACGGGTAAATATTATTTTTTATTATTTATATTGTTAACCGGATCTTACCACGGATAATATCATGGTAAATAAAAGTTAGCATATAAATAATAGACTGAGTTTATAGTAAAAAAACTCAGTGAAATATTGTACAATTAACTCAGTTTACATTAAAAATAATGTGAATATTACTACCATAAGATCTAGCAATGCAAATGTTGCCAACGAAAAAATAACGGAATCGTAAATAAACAAAATTTTCTACCAGGCAACCATAGACAACCAAACAGCACTTACAAGGCAGGTCTTCTGAGCTGGACGACCCACTATGACTTGAGCCCTGGTTTCTTCTATTAGTGACTGCGTTGGGGTTAACCATCCCCATGGGAGGTATATTCATAGGTATTGGATCCATTAACCGCCCGTGTCCACTACTCGACGTTAAGTCATCAGGACTTAATTCCTCGCTTGTCAAAGAGACAGAACTCTGCCCAGAGACAAGCACGGTATTCTGTATGTCCATGGGACTGTGTTGGATGTTCGAAGGACTGTGTAAGAAGGTTGTCGAGTCCACATAACTGGCAACCAAGTTGTCAACCCCCATAGAAGTTTCCGGTTTTATTTCCTGCTTGATATTAATGACACCGCTCGATATAGAAGCAGGTGACTGAATCCTTTCCTCGTATCTGTCGAATTCCTGTATTCTGGGCCTCGGCATTTCTATGGCTGACTGTCGGAGGGTGGTTGTCGATGTGGTTGCCGTTGCGGTTGACGTGGAACCTGATGGTCGGACTATGGTGCTTTTTTGTTGCTCGTCTATTGAAAAGGTTAGCGACTGTTAATTGGGAATATACTGCTTGTTTAGTTGATGTAATGGATCTAACAACAGCTGACATCCCGGTCTATCCTACTAAGGTGATCACAAATTCACTAAGATTTCATCTCGCTATTTGTTTAATAATAAAAGGAGACTCACCAACAACTAAGTATAAACAATTGCCGTGTCATTCTATTCCATTAAATTAGAAAGACAGCATACTGCCTTAAGATTTTCTCTCTCTTAACCCTTCAATGATAAGAAGTGCCTTACCAGCACAATTGCCGTCTCGTTTTATTCCATTAAATTAAAAAAGGACCACACTATATCCTCAAGATTTCCTCAGAGACTCACCAAAGCCTAATGCCAAATGGTTGACTAATAGTACACTTTTTTTTCGGTCTACTCTAATGATGTTGACCGCAGTGGGCTTTACAACTTCACCGGATGATAGGGGGCGAGTTCAGATAACACTTCAAACCTGCGGAAGAACTTATGGAGCGACTGAAGGCCAACTCCCGCCTGACGGATACGACTTTAGTCTGAGAGCACTGCTGGGGGTTTGAGCCTCAGCTCAGGCCGTCGTAATTCGATCCCCGTTTGAATTGAACGGGGAATCGATCGAGAGGTAGTAATAGTACACTTTACTCTAAGATTACGTCTCGCTCATTCCTATAATGACAGAAAAAGACTTACCAGGTCCTATGAAGTCAGTGTCCAAGAATCCTCCAGTTTGTTTTGGCTCGTAGGCAGTTGTAGAGTCAACGTAGTCAGCTGATACGTCGTAGGGTTGTTGCTGGGGTGGTTGGGGTTGAATGTTCATGTTTGAAGTCAGGGCTGGTCCCGCGTTGCCGCCGTACCCGTATGAAGAGAGAGGCGAAGGGTAGCCTGTGTAGCTGAAATTAATAAAATAGGTTTTTCGAATATACCTAAAAATTTTGCTCTTTCATATAATACACTTAAATGCACACAAGTAAAATATTTGCGCTATTAAATTATTACAAATGTCAAAATTATTTACTTATAATTTCGTGAAGGAAATGATGACTTATTATAAACTAGCTGTGCCGGTGGTTTCACTCGCATTATTTTTATAGCATATGTGTTATTCTAATGTATAAGCTATATTACTGGAAGCTTCAACAAAATCCGTTTAGTAGTTTTTGCTTGAAAGAGTAACAAACATCTATCTATCAACTACACTCACAAACTTTCGCGTTTATAATATTAGTAAGTTAAATGAACAAATTAAATAACGACTAAGGGGAAATTGATATTTTATCATCGAATTGAAGTTAATGATCAACACTACTGTATAAGAAATTAATTGGAAATTCTTCCCGAACGTGAATTAGAAAAAACAAACTATGCGGTCGCACGGCCCATTCACAAACACGGAACACCGCCATCTATCAACGGATACAAGTAACATTTAGTACCGCTACTCGTTACTAGACGTCGCTATTTACATTTACCGTTGCGCGTCAGTGTCGGGCGGTTACCGTTGCACGCCATTCAGTGTCACGCACTTACCGTTGCCTGCAATAATGACATTTGATGCACCGCTGACACGAATAGATGTAATGAATTATGGGATAACAACGGTATTGTACGACTGAGACATAGTACAACTGAACTGTAAACACACCGGCAAGATGGCGTCACAAGACTCGAATTGCGTTTAAAAAAGGAATTACAACTTTTTAAAAGACTAAAAAAAAACATTACTCATAGAGAACTTAGTGTCGCTTTTGAAGAATAAAATCTTTATCATCATTACATAGTACGAAACAAAGTCGCTGTCGCTGTCTTTCCGTCCCTATTTATGCTTGAATCTTTAAAACTACGCAACGGATTTTTAAGCGGTTTTTTTAAAATAGATAGACTGATTCAAGAGGATGGTTTATATGTATAATACATGTACACCCGGGCGAAGCTGGGGCGGGTAGCTAGTATAGTATAAAATGAAGTCGCTTCCACTGTCTGTTCGCTTAAATCTTTCAAACTACACAACGGATTTTATTTGCAGTTTCAGCAATAGTGTGATTAAAAAAAAAGGTTTATATTTATAATACATGTACACCCGTATGAATCCGGGCCTTGTAGCTAGGAAATAGCTGTATTTAATCTTTTCACATTGGTTTAGGAATTGTATCACAGATCTGATAACTGTCAATAGATTTTTTAGTATACTAACTTATTAGCACAATATTTTAGTGACTTTTTTGTTCTGGTATGCTGGTATATAAGTTGTTAACAGAACTTTAATCTAACATTAAAAAATGTTGACAATTGTGAAATAATTAGATACTTATGTACTTATTTAATCATTTATTTGAAAAAAGACGACATCTTTGATTGCCTCAAAAACCGGAAGAAGGAGGTCAAGGTGAAAGAAAAAAAATCACAGATAATATAAAAACAGAGAGCACAAAAGTTTTACAAAGTAGGTTACTTTACGATATAGATTAAAATATTCTAACAAAAAAACGTTTCCAATATTTATTTTATGTATTTAAACTGTACATATACGCCAATTCGACATTGATTTGTCTTCTTTTTGTAATACACAGGTATTATCTATAGTTCATATAATAATTACGAACTGCTTTGTCACGATTGTCATTGGTATAAACAAAGTTTTGCAATCGTAAAACCAAAGATAACGTAATATTACAGTAAAACTAACGGATAACGCGGCACGTTTTTTTATAATATATAAACGTCTCTCAATACTCGATACCACACGTCCTTTGTTCCTTGAAGCACCTAGACTACTGCTACGCTCCACTAGAATACATACATTTATTGGGAAACTGCTAAGATTTTTTTATCTAATTGGAATGTGAACCTTACGGCCCTAATAATACCTATACTTAACGGACGCCACTCATGGTTTGTGACGACCGTGGTATACCACGCAACGTCGTAATTTCACTGTCATATCTCAATACTCAAGCAAAAAAACACAGGTCACGAAAGAAACTTTACGGGTTGCTTAAATGTGTGAAATAGAGAAAGACAACTTTCTACGGTCTACCTCCGGTCTGCAAAAACGGTAGATATATCAATTTTTTTATACTACATAGGTTGCAGATCTGATATTAAATGGTTACCGTAGCCTATGGACGCCTGAAACACCAGGGGGGTCTCGTGCGCGTTACCGATCCTTCAGAAACAAATTAATATACCCTTCTTGAAAACACCTCTCTCGAGAAAACCTTTGCAGGTAGTTCATTCCTCAATCTAAATGTACCCGGAGGAAAACTCTAATTTTCTAAGTACATCTTCTCAATAACAGATGTCGCTACTCACCCATTATAATGACCATGGAACTGGTCACTGGAGCTGGGCGTCTGCTGTTGGGCATCATATACCGAGTCCGGAGCGGCATCTGTCTGTGCTCTCATCTGCGCGCGATGATATCGCACCTCATCTTCCACCTTCTCACGTTGTTTCTTCGACATGCGACCGAATTTCACCGCTGGAAACAAAAACAGTGTAAAATTAGTTCATCTACTCGCCAACAATAGCGCTGTTAGGTAACGAAGGAAAAAATATATGCGATAATCGAATACGCTATTTGCCGTTGGAAGCGCTGTTGTCGCGTGAAAAATCAATGACATAACAGGGGAACTCGGTTTCCAATCTGTTCCCATAGCGCCTTACTCTTTATTCCCACGAAAAAAGAACTAAAATCAGTAAGCCTCGCGGCTCTACAACACAATGCAATTAGTATGTTCTCAATGACACCAGCATCGCTCGGTTACTCAATAGCTAGTTCCGTCAATGTGTGCGAAACGCGTTTGTTTGTGTTCGATATGTGATTGTGTGCGTTATTAAACAGCTTCTGATTGGTGTGTGCGGTCGCGTGTGCATGTGTGCGTGGGGGACACATAGGCCGTTGGCACACTGCCTAGTGGAACAACGAACTCTCGAACCTCTGACGTATGTATGTATACGTACAGTACGTACGTGTGACGTATAGCTACGTAACTAGCTGCGGTCCCGTTCGGTGTAACGCGACCGGATTAAAACGCGCACGGGTCGTTAGATCGCGCGCGCAGTTTAATGACCTACCGAATTCCAGCGGATAATTTGTCGATTTGGTAGGTGTATGTTTTTTTTTATGTGCAGTTGTAAATTTTCGGTCTATGAAAAGTTTTCTTTGTAGGCAGTTCGATGAACTACATCGCGGCCGGTCTAAGTGGGTCTTTGTTGTGAAGCGTTTGCTATTGATTGGAGGATCAATAAACATTGGCTGTGCCTATTTTGTTAAAGGCGTTTTGGGACGGCGACCTCAGTGGGTATAATGTCCTACATTAACAGCTTTACAAAATGAAAGAAAACATGTTAACAATAGATTTTCTGTTTGTACATGAAACAATTGTTATTCTAGTTAAAAGAATATTGGTGATTAAGACAAGAAACATCTTTGTTCATTTTCAAATAAAATTTTATATTTATTTAATTTATTCTAGGTATTACCAGCGATTTTGTCTGTATTTTTAAATAAAAGATACTGTATGTCGTAGTAGTATCGTCATAGTCATTAACTGTTTAATCTTGAAATGACAACAAACATACAGACAAACATAAACATAAATAGGGGGACCTACAAAAAAAATACTTTGATATTAGATTTTTTTGCTGAAATACTTAGGACACAAATAGTCTAAACTAGTATTGTCAGAGAATTTTTATATAAACTGTGTTACCAAGTAGGTACATCTCGGCACGATATTTGCAAGCAATTGTTCGCATAGATTGATCTTGAAGGTTTTCTCCGCATGTACAAGACCGCCTTGCATAAAACAAAACAGTTTTTGTGTGAAAATATAAGAGTTTAACATCGTCCTTGAGAATCGATCCAAAATTTAATCTATATGAAAAGAAGAGCTTCCTTCTTTGTTAAACTCTTGTTAGACAGATACATTAACGTAACTGTTCTGTAGTCACTAGTAAGAAATAATTAATTGCATTTTATTTTTGTAATAATTTTAAATTTCGAATCTAATTCGAAACAATTGAAGTTAGCAAGTTTTAAGAATATGCATTACTTTGTCTTTTGTTTTAAATTTGGAATGTTATCGAAATATTTGAAGTAAGTAAGTTTAAAGAATATGCATTTCTTTTTTTTCTTGCTGTGATTTTAAATTTGGAATTCTAATTCGAATTTGAAGTCAGCAAGTTTAAAGTGTATGCATTTCTTTTTTTCTTGCTTTGATTTTAAATTTCGAATACAATTCAGAACATTTGGGTCAGCAAGTTTCAAGAATACTCGGTTTACATAAATAACTGGGTGTCGATGCGTGCAGTTACGTGCACAAAACATCGATACCGAGACATGCACGTTACGCTTGCACATTGCACAATGCATTGTGATGTCCGTCGTTGATTATTTATCTATATCGATAATTTATTATAGATAACATTTTTATAGTTTTATATTAACATTGGACCTAGTATTTTTGTGTAACTTAAGTACTATTATTATTTAAATTTTATTATTTAGATACTATATTCTCATATTGAATTTATGTGGCCACTGTTATTTTGATTTTTATTCATAATATTCTAGATTTATTGTTGTTGTTTCTGGTTTGTTATTTTTAACACAACATCCAAATCCAAAACAAATTTAAAAAAAGAAATGTCATCCATATTAATTATGTTTTATTTTACATTTATAAATCATGATTCTCGTGAAACCCAGTTCTTAAATTATGTCATTAAATAAATATTAGCATGGTGATATATGCTCAAACGTTTAGTGTGTCAAAACATTGTATTAATATATATCTTAGCTGTCAGCGAGGTACAGTTATAATACTAAATAAATTGTTGTTTGTACAACTGACATAGACTAATGTTTTCGTGTTCTCCTGAATATCTTTAAGTAGGAGTACGTTTATGCTGGACGTACCAATATGATTATGACTTCGAAAGTATTACGGATTACTAATTACTAGCAAATGAAACTGAATTAGTGTTTTTTGTAATATATTTAAAAATTTTTTTTTTTTTCTTTAACTCTTTCGCTCATTTCGCTTTCTTTATCAGGTAAAGAATACCTTTGAAATAATTTTAAAAATACGAAAAAATATGATGAGTCGATATTTCTTCTAAAAAAATATTGTCTTGATAAACATTACAGACTACAAAGTAATTTACGAAAATTGAAAATAAGACTTTAGTAGCTTATTTATTGATTAACAGTCTCTCTCTCTATCTGCATCTATAGAAAATTTTACAAAAAATAGAGCATCGTATGTTATAAAACAAAACTAACCAACACTATCGTAAACTCTTGATCTAATTATTTGTTACTACCTAATTAGTTCATATTTGATTTATAATGCTTCTTTTCATATCGTGTTTTTAGACATAACAGTGTAAGCTGCGTGACAAAAGTGTATTTTTCAGAAAATCTGCCAACCGGGTCACTAAAAAAACACGGTTAAGGGTCGTCGTCCATTTAACACCTCAGCAACAAGCCAATGTTAATGAAAAAGTGAGCTAAGCTGTGTAGCATACGGTTTATTTTAGTTTTGTATGTGAAAATCGTGGACAAACCCAGGGATAGTGATATCGTCCACTTAATATCGTTTTCTTTTAGTGACACTAAGCTTTGTATCTGTGCTAATCGGGCGCCTGTCTGGTAGTTGGGTTTGAATTGTCAACGCAAAGCTCTCTAATGGTCTCTGTTATTTTAACGTTATTGTTACATTTTACTTAACGTGACCACAAGTTTCTCGAAGTCAAGCTAGTAGTAATAGACGAGATAATGATATATTTTACATATTTTTCATCGATATCGATATTTGTAATATTATCATCACGTGCCACATCACTACACGTTACGTTCTATTGCGCAACTTGAACGCGTCAGTGAGTTCCTCCTGCGACGCGCTATCATGCAATGCAACTACTTGAATTATGTTATGGCAGTATAAAATATTTAAGTACCGGCCGGTGTTTGTGTTCCATTTTTAAAATATTTTATTGTTTTTATGTGACAGTTTTTTAAAGTGTTCTTATTTTGAAATAAGAAGTAGCGCGAAAATAAATCTTTACAATCTTTGGAGGAATAAAACAAACACATTTGTTGTCAATTTATTCGTGACATTCTATTGTTTTATCATAAACTAGCTGACCCGCGGCACTTCGTCTGCATCACACTTACATGACATTTATCATTATATTTCGCCCAATTTATACAATATATTATTCTATGTATTATTCTATATTATAAGCTATAGTATAAGCTATATTACTTTAAAGTTTCATCAAAATCCGTTCAGTAGTTTTTGCGCGAAAGAGTAACGCGTCGCGTAAAGAGTCGCGAGTGTTTTTTTTATATTACTGAAATGCTGAAGAAGCTAACGATCCACGAGGTGGTATGTGGTAACGGTCACCTATATACATAAACAGGACCACGGATATCACGCTATTATGTGACACCCGTAGTGCCATTCAAGCGTTGCCATTCTAGAGGACTAAGATGTCAAACCACATATCCTATTATGTTTAACCACAGTTTACAAACTTATAAAGCACGCTGCTTGACTGCTGAAATGTGTGACTTTGACTTTTTACAAAGTGTGCTATATAAAAATAATGCTCCTATATTAGTTATGATAATGTAATAAGCCCTAATTACAGTTACACTGGCTATTTCTTATTTAGGCAGTATAAATCACTGCCCGTGACGGAATTAAAAAAAAACTAGCACGCCTCGCCCTACCGGAACTAATACGGTTCTATAACATATGCAGGCAATTTTCTTAATCTATCCCTGTTAATAACAGAGAACGAACTCATTGGTCACTACAACACGCACCTATAAGGCTGCGATGTTAGGCACAAGCGGAGCGATGCACGGAGCGTTTTTATATTTACTAGCGATTCATAGTGTACTACTTGAACATATAATGCATTTAGTAAATATGCATCTTTGAATAAGATACAGCCCATGTTATTTGCAGATCAAGATAGAAAGGTGAAGGAATTTTTAAAATCGATGGTTTTTTAGTTATTATGAATAAAGAAATTTTATTTTTACGAATATAGAAATTTATTCATAATTTACGTTACATTACGAATAAAAAATTAAATAATTTTGGCATTATTGTTAGTATAAATAATATTGTTTCCAACTAGTTCTTGCTGCAACTGCGTTCGCATGTACAAGACTATATAGTACATATATATATGCCAAATTTCATGATTGGTTTGGCCGTGTAAGCATGAAAATATAACAAACTTACGTTTGTATTTTGTTATATAGAATTATATTCTGCAATCACATAACAAGTTTTTGAAACAAAAGGACAATGTAATATTCAATTAAAAAAAAATTCACTATATCGCTGACTAATTGTAAGACCCAAAGTTAAACCGGTTTCCGCTACCGCTTATAAAATGTAACATGAGTCATAAATGTATAAACATAATATTGCGTTATCAAACCGTGATAGCAGGCCGTTGACCCCGTGTTCGCTTCCTCATACCACCACGTGTTTCATCTAGGTAATGCAATCTTTTTCTTTGCGATAGCAGCCATTGTAGTGGTGTTTGTATTTGAATCTTATGTCATTGTGTTAAAGTTTATTTTAGGTTTTACGTCATTGTAACGGAGATATGGTGTAACATTATAAGTATATGTATCTGTTGTAATGTATATTGGAATGGTATTTTTTTTATATACAATTATATTTTTTATAGATATTTTTTTTAAATACATTGGCGACCCACATGATGGAAAAGAACAATCGTCGCCTATACTCGTAGATATGAACTACTACTAGTTAATATTTGAATACTAGAATTTAACGAACTAGTATATCTTCTAGGAAGGTAGGAGGGGTCCTATATGAGAAATTATTTTATATAATCAACCCCTTGTTGACAAAGTGTGACATTGTATAAATATCACAATTTGACGGCCTCTCCTTAAAGTGTGACGTGGTTTGCCCCCATGCTGTTAGCACCATTCCGTTATCATCCATTACTTCTCCGATCGATCCCCCGTCAAATTCAAACGGACATCGAAATTACGACAGCCTGAGCCGAGGTTCGAACCCCTAGCGGTGCCCTCAGACTAAAGTCGTAGACTAAAGGCAGCTAATGAGTTGGTGGCATAAAAAAAAGTGCTTATATTAAAGGATCTACCGGATTAAGCATATGAAAACTACACTCGCGTCTGATGAAGGGTTCTTACTTTCTATTTTTTGTTTTTCATCTAAAATAGCCATACACTCAATCTCACACCCCTATAGTAAGGGAATAATGGGGGGTGAAAGCCCTTAAAAACATTTTTTTTCTCTGTATCTATTCAAGATATCTTCATGAAATTGAAACCATATATGACTAGCGATAAACTAATTATAATATATATTTATAAGATTTTTCTTATATTAGAAACTGTAAGAAACGAGAACTATACTTTTAGTGGGTGGTTTTTTATAAAAAAAATATATCTTATTTATTAATTAGTTACCTATTACAGGTTAGAGTTACAAAAGGGTCGAATATATGGAACATAGTTTAAAAAAATAAACGTCAGGTGGGAGTTGGCCTTCAGCCGCTCCATAAGTCCTTCCTTTTCTTTGGAGTGGCATCTGCACTCACCCTCTATCATCTGGAGAAGCTGTAAAGGTCAACTGCTTCCAACAGCATTAGAGTATTCCGAAAAAAATCCATTATCATAAATTTGTTCTTATAACTGTTTAATTTCACGTGTTTTCATATGCTTAACCCGTTAGACTCTTTACAATAGATTACTTCTACGTCTACTCACCATCACGGCTCATTCCAAGCTTGAGGCACTTCTGCAGCCGGCAGTACTGACATCTGTTCCTGTTGACCCGGTCCACTACGCAGGCTTTGTTGCGCGGGCACTGGTAGTTCACCACTGAAACAATGCATGGCGTTATTAATTGGAACAATAACAGAGGAAGGGGTTTGTGAGTAATGTGGACTAGGTCCCCTCGCTAACAATGTACCATGTCAGGTTGATATCCAAACGGAAACCATTGTAATAAATTCCTAGATTAATCGCCTTATGTTTCTCCAAAAACAAAACTGTATGTTATAATAAAGAAATTGTTGCGATGGGCTAACTGATCTGTACTCATGCTCATCCTATCAACATCTACTGGTGCCACACCAGCGTAAACCATTAGCGCAGGCGGGTGTACCACTCATGCTCATCCTATCATCTACTGGTGCCACACCAGCGTAATCCGTTAGCGCAGGCGGGTGTACCATTCTACTATCATCAATTAAAAAAACAATAATATAATATTTTTTTTATTTATTACCAATTTAGAATTATGTATTTGGCAGACCAGTTTCCTTTGAATTAAATAAAGGAAAATGTATGCTACAACTCATTCAATGAAAAAAGATTTTCATAATTGTCAAATTCTTGGAAAGTCTGTCGCACCCATTTCAGCCACTCTTCAATTGAATACAGCTTACAAAGCAGCGTGCTTTGGAAGCTGTACTCAGCTAAAGAGGACTAAGATATCATGCCTCCGGATCCTTTAAGAAAGCGACAATAAAGGTACGAAGCATGAGATCTTAGTACTCCGGAATGACAACTCATAACGGGATCTATAGGCGCATATGATGATGTCGTGATATCCATGGAGTTAATTCTTCATGTAATATAAGCGACGGTTACCAGTTACCATCAGGTGGGTCAGTCAGTTTAATTGCTATTCCAACATATAAGAAATACTAAATAATCTTGTTGTTGACTGCCATATCTCAACTTCGAAAACGAAGTGCGTTTTTGAAGTTGAGATATGGCAGTCAAATTGTTGCTTAATAAGGCATGACACCTTAGTTCTCCAGAATGGCAATATGAGATATAATGGCTTTTTATATGTTTCTGGTGCTGTTCATGTATACAGGCGACAGTTGGCGTTTCCCATTATAAATGTATTATTACCTTGTTTGCCATTCAGTTAAAAAAAACTAACCAATACAATAATACTAGTTCTCCAGAATATCATTATTTGGTTTCATATATCTGTAGATAGAGGCGATGATTGCTATTTTCTATTATAAAGTCATTTTTTCAAGAAGGGTATATTAAGGTTTCTTAATGGTCGACAACGCGTATGTGACACCCCTGGTGTTTCCCCCCTGGTAACCGTTTACCATCAGATGGGCCGTATGCTAGTTTGCCACCTAATTGGTATTTAAAAAAAAATTTCATTGCCGTTCAGTAAAACAATAGACAAATTAAAATAAAAAAAATCATGTGGGAAGGATGATAAATGAACCTGACCTGTGCTCTGTGACCGCCGGAAGAACCCCTTACATCCCTCGCACGTGATCACCCCATAGTGCACCCCTGAAGACTTGTCCCCGCACACCTTGCACGGTATTATCTCGATTTGGGCTGCAACAAAAGAAAATACATTGTTATTTATTGTTATATTATATATTATAATAATAATAATAATAATATCAGGATAATTCACACAGCGCCATCTAGACCCAAGTTAAGCTAGCTAAACCTTGTGTTATGGGTACTAGACAACTGATACAAATACATAAATATATTTTTTTCGTAAATACATACATATTACACATAGAAAACACCCAGACTGAAACAAACAATCATACTCATGAATACAAATGCTTGTGCCCTACGGGGAATCGAACTCGCGACCCTCGGAAGTAATGCGGTCTGCTCAACCGCTAGACCACCGAGGCCGTCATATAATGTGTAGGAATGAAGATAATATTTTAAAGGTGTTACATATGAATGTGGGTGGTTATAAAGTCAGAGAAAGACAAAAAAGAAATGGATGGACTGTGTGAAAGATGATATGTTAAGAAAGGGAGTAAATAACGAGATGACTGCGAACAGGGATGAATGGAAGAGAATAACATATTACGCCGACCACAAATAAATGGGATAAGGAAGAAGCAGATGATGATAATGGTACATTTATAGAATATACTTATAAAGTGGACTAACGATCCCATTGCTATCATTGTACCATGTCAGGTTGACCACCACGTGGTTCCCCCTGGAAACCATCCTGATGAATTCCTGGCAAATTTGCCACGATGGGCTTTGCTAAGATGAATATGAGGTCATCATGTCATATATGACATGATGACCTCATATTCATCTTATCATCCTCCACTGGTGCCCCGCCAGCGTAATCCGTTAGCGCAGGCGGGTGCACCATTCCTTCATCACTAGGGTATAGGGTCCCTAGTAAGTAATAATATAAAGGAAAAATTTTATTTCCATCTACTTATATTATCACGACTGTTATTTAATTTGGGGTAGGTAGAGGCATTGTTAACAGTCAAGGTGATGAACACAACACTTAACATGCCCACATTTCGTCTAGTACAATAGAATTCAACGTAGCAAGATTATAGTCAACGTTTATAAAAAGAATCATCAAATTCGGTGTTAAATTAGAGACATTCCTATTAAATATCAAATCCTTTGAAAAGATAAATAAAAATAGGTTCTACAGAATAATACTTCTTACTGTCTAAATAATGACTCACTTTATATATAAATCCAATTTATTACTGTTTTTTGTCCTTTTCACGCAAGTTAAGAATGTTACTCGAAAGAAAAGAAAACACTAAACTAATGCTATAAAAAGCAAGCACTATAATTTAGCTGACGTCCAAAAAAACAAAGGGCCTATGTATTAAGAACAAATAAGTCTGTTAAGACCTTACAAAAATAAGACAACAAAATTCAAATTTCGAACTGTCATGTTACGACTACCGTTTTCGGTCGGATGGTTCATCGACCCCGAGGCAAGGTCGGAGCGCGGCCGATGACTGCGCGTTGCGTGTGTGCGTGGGACAAGTCACAACCACATTGATCCTTCACATGGATAAGGCGCGGATCGATTCTGCTATTCTCAACACTGGTTATCTTGTTTTTTCCTCGTAACGCTTCAAATTAGATAATAGTCGCGTCACTAGTCGTTCGAATTCGATATTTAAATTTGAATTTAACGATTAGAACAATTAATTGTTTAACTTTTTCTGACACGTGTTAACTAAACGCATTTTCCAATATTTATGACCACAAATTTTCCTAGAACTAGAATGATATGTGATAATACTGTTCCGTTTTTATTTTTACATATATTTTACTAGATGGAGATTTTCTAGAAAGCAGTCTGCGCGTGTTCCTCTGTCTCACCTATTTCTAAACCGAATTCTTAATACTAACTTTTGTCATCTTTACTTTGAGTGTAGTTTACATTTAGGAAGTAAAATTACAGGAGAAGAGGCATGACATTTTAGTCCCCTAGTATGTCTATACAGATGTTTTACGAGATTTTAAGTAATGAAGTTAATTAATGAATTAAAAATAAAATCCAAAACAGTGTTATTATTTTAAATTAAAATCTATTATTTTAGTAAAAATCTAATAATTCTAACCTTTTATTACTTCCTTGTTATTGTAAATCGAGTCGAGTTTTATTTTAGGATTAATCAACAGTGTTTATTCTTCATTTCGTTTAGAAGGAAATTACTTATTTTGATTTAATTCACAAAATTCTGCTATATTATATTCGTTTCGAATAACTTTATTAATAGTTCACTGTAAATTTGTGTGAATACCTCCTCTGGGTTAACAATTATGGCGGTATACTAAAATGAAATCAAAACACCTTTATTCATGTAGGTCTATTACAGACTCTTATGATATGTCAAATCTACCGTCAGTTCGGAGTGCTTTCGAGCTGCGAAGAACTGAGAAGAAACTCTGCTCGTATTCTTTTCAAATGAGCTTGTACATGACTACAAAAATACAGATTCATTTTTAAAGGGAGAATGAGTGGCAACTTGCATATACCATTGCGTTTTTGTCCGTCATTTCGGAGAGCTTTTGAGCTGAGAAGAACAGACAAGAAACTCAAATATAATATTAAATTCAAATAAGCTTGTACATGATTACGAAAATGCAGATTCATTTTAAAGGGAGAATGGAGTGAAACAAGTGTCATTTCGGAGTGCTTTCAATCTAAGAACTGACAAAAAACTCAGCACTTATTATTTTCAAATAAGCTTGTACATGATTACGAAAATACAGATTCATTTGTAAAGGTAGAATGGAGTGACCACCCAGCTTAGCAGCAGCTTAGCTTTGATCAGTAACCGTAACCCAAACAGACCAGTCCCCACATTACTAGTATTATTATATTTGCAATATAATAACCTGATTCTAAACACTTATCTAACATATTATCATCGTCAATTTTTTTTCTTTTTGTGAGAAGAACAATACAGAATTTTTCTTTCATTCGTTCATCCTCCACCGGTGTTCTATCAGCATTTACCGTTAGCATAGTTAGATCTTTTACTTATAAAAAAAGAGACAAAGTCGCCGGTAACGCCTAGTTTTCTCAACAGTCGCCGTTATCTATTTCCACAATAATTGTAAACAATTGGTATTTAAATTGTAAATTTAAACAAGGACATCGCTATTCCGATAAATAATCGGCCGTATCCAAAATGGCGTCGCGCCATAGACAATAGTGATGTAACAATGAGCGATTATTTTTATATACAGCCATAGAGCACTGCTTGCAACACCTTTGTCGGCTTGTTTGGCAATATCCTACATCTTATCCGTAGTTTTATGGCTTTGGAATTGCTAAATATTTTACAATTTGGTTACAAATTTCAATAGATAAATTTGAATATAATATAGTACCTTTGTATAGAATAGAATAGAAAGCAACTTTATTAAAAAAACATCTATTGATCTATTGACAGGATACTTAAGTATCTTAATGTATGTACTATAACCATCCTTACTTTCTGACTAATATTATAAATGCGAAAGTAGCTAAGTAACTCTGTCTGTCTGTCTGTGTAGCTTTTACGTCAAAACTACTGAACCGATTTAAATGAAATTGAGTACACAGATAGTCTAGACACTGAGAAAGGACATAGGCTACTTTTAATGCGAAAAAAAGGTTGTAAAGGGTTGAAAATGGAGATGAAAATTTGTAGGGAAATATCGTAATTTTTAAAGCTAGAAACTTGAAACTTATTTTTTAGTCTGTTCAATAAGTATAAATAAATATGACATTCAAAATATGTAAAAATGTTACCATTAAGGGGGTAAAATAAAATAGGGGTAGGAAGTTTGGAAATCGATATTTTTGAACCTAGAACGATGAATCCTTTTTCTTTGCAGAGAGAGCCCGGATTCGCAAATCTTTTAATTTCTATGTTTCTTCTATACTATAACACGCTTGTATTATACATAAAAACCTTCCTCTTGAATCACTCTATCTACTGCTGAAAATGCCATTAAAATCCGTTGCGTAATTTAAAAGATATAAGCGAACAGATAATGACGGCAATTTGTTTTATACAATGTAAAGTCGCACTTTGTCGACCCCCTTCCCTTAACGCATTTTATAAATTGTCTCAAACCATTAGTGCAGGTGTACCATTCCATTTTCATATATTAAAAAAAAATAACATGAAGTTAAACAAAGTCATAAGACCTGCAATCGCGTAAAAAAGGGACAACCTATAGACTTGCCCGTTGCACACGGCCAGCTGATCGTGACGTCACCGGTCGCCGACCCCGCAACACCGTTCAAACATCGAACTCTTCGTTCGAAATTGTATCACGCCCGCTGTGACGTCACCGCGTTTTGAATTTGGAATACGTATCGTATTAGGTACGATTATTGCACCGTTATGGAGGTCGGGTGAGTATGTGTGCGTTAGCTCATTCATGGTACAGGGGAGGTCACTTTATTGTTTAGCGAATTTCATAAGCTACGAAAGCAGTTCTAAATTTAAAAATTCGGTTGAAATCAGATTTGTGGAACTGACAATTTGTTACATGTGAAATAAAAAAAAAGGTTTTTAGAATATATTCAATACATTTTATTCCTTTTAAGAAAATGTTTTTGTATGTTATCTGTAGAAGTATTGCACAGATTATAATTTAATTTTTCCCAGTATAAAAGTGATTTTGCCTATTTGTTTTATCCATCAAATTCAACGAATACAGGCAAGTTAGTTTTTTTAGTTGTTTTTACAGATAAATTGCCAACTGTGACTGCTTCTAAACTAGATATTCATGACTGTTTTACACTGTGCTGGGATTGAACCCGATACTATCGGAAGTTGAGGCAGTGCGCTTAGCCGCTTCATAAGCAAGGTCGTTAACTAATAATAATACTTCAAATAGCGGTCTGAAACCTGTTTAACAAAAAAAAGTAAAATTCTTCATGATAATGTCGTCTTCAGCCTTGAGCCTCATTAATGAAAATAAAAAAAAACAATTGTAGTGAGTACACCATAACACACCCACAGAACGTCACATTCGTCGTCGGTCAACGCCCCGTCGAGCCTTCTATGCTAAACCTCTAACAC